AGGTAGAGAAAACTATCTGTTCCCCTGCTGTTCATTCCAAACCAGTTGCATGTGGTTTTACATAGAATTACACAGGTACCACACTCTGAGAAGGAGGTGAAGGCTTTAGGGATGCTGCATAAAAGATTCAAGAGAAAAATTCCAGGGATGAGGAACTTCAGTTATGTGAATAGGAGCAGTGCTAGAAATGTTTAAAATCTTGAAGGGTCTACACAGAGTACATGGGGAGAAACTATTCCTAATAATGCATCAATGAGTGGCACAGTGGCTCAGCAGTTAGCACTGCTGCCTTACAGCACCAGGGATCGGGGTTTGATTCCACCCTTGGGTGACTGAATGGAGTTTGCATGTTCTTCCTGTGTCTGTGTGGGTTTCCTCCCGGTGCTCCAGTTTCCCAAACAGTCCAAAGATGTGCAAACTAGGTGGATTGGCCATGCTAAATTGCCATAGAATCCAGGGATGTGCAGGCTTGGTGGATTAACCATGGGAAATGCAAGGTTACAGGAATGAGATGGATCTGGGTGGAATGTTCTTTGGAGGTCAGTGTGGACTTGATGGGCTGAATAGCCTACTTTCATTCTGTAGGGATTCTATGACCAAGAGCCAGAGAACACCAATGTAAGGTGATGAGCAAAAGATCCTAACAGAAACAAAAGTAAAACCTTTCTTTTAGTGCAGCAAGTGGTTAGGATCTGGAATGAACTGTCTGAGAGCATGGTGGAAGCAGATTCAATCATGGTTTTCTATAAATAGCCTAGAAACAGGCCATTCAGTCTGACAAGTCCATATACAGGCATTTATGCTCCAATCAAGCCCCTTCTATCTTTCCTCATCTACCAACCAAACCTCATATTCTCTTCCTGTTCATTCACTCTGAACTTCAACGCATCCAGATTACTCACTTCAGGCTCTACATGTGGTAAAATATTCAGCATTCTCACTACTCCTAGAGGAAAAATTTTTCTTTTAAATTCCCCAGGTGACTGTCTTATATTAACGGCCTCTACTGGTGCTCTTCCCCACAAAGGGAAACATTCACTCTGGATCAGAGTAATTCATCCTTTTAAAGACATCTATTTGGTCACAACATAGTTGCACGCAATGCCCATGTTGCACCCAGTTGGTGGCACTGGTGATTTGGTTGGTTTTGGGCTCTCCTGCCAGATGGAAGCGGCTAACGGATTGATTGATCTGACCAGAATAGCAGCTCATCTACATCTGCCTCATTTCCACAGTGTCATTCTCACCCACCTTTGTTCATCAGTATATCAGATTGCCAAATGGTTGGTTTTCTTGCATTTGTCCAGATGAAGACAAAACTAAAATCTTCAGCAACATGGCTCTCTCTTCAGCAATAAACAGGCAAAGTCAGTTTTTTTCAGAGGCACGTCACAAATCTTTGGAAGAGGCAGGCCAAGTTGATGCAGTTAAAGAAGCCAATATGGTTTTGACTTTGTAAGTAAAAACAAAAACAAATTGTAAACTTTTACAAACTCCTGGTCAGCTCAGCAGAAGTATTGCATCCAATTCTGGCCATCACACTATAGAAAGGGAGTCAAGGTTTTGAAGGACAATGCAGAGGAAAATTAAGGCAGGGATCACTGCATTTTTAAAGGAAAAAATGGATATACATTTGAAGTGGAGGAAAATACAGGCTGAGCAGCAAGACTCATTTTAGATCGATTTTGCACAGGCGTCTTCAGCCAAGTCACCTTTTGTGCTATAAAAGTTCAAGAATATTTTTGATTATTTGTTCAACTTGGATTCTGTTAAGAAACAAATGTGCTGTAGAATTTTATTAAGTGTGTTAATTGCCCAGCAATCTTCTGGAAAGCACTCACCAATGTCTCAAATAGTTTGGGAAGGCAGCAGTTTAGAACCAGCCTTACGCATTAAGTGTTTTGAAGGGGCTGACAGTTCTAACTAAAATGACAATTTATGTTTATAATCATGGCTTTCACAACCTCAGAACATCCCAAAGTGTTTTATAGCCAATTAAAGTATGTCTGAGGTGCAGGCACTGTTTTAACATTAGGAATGTAGAAGCCAATTTACACAATGCAAACTCCTCTAAACAGTAATCAGGTCGCCAGCAACAGCGATGTGTACATCACAAAGTGATGATGTCAGAGGCACAGCAGTAATCTCATTGGATTAGAAATCTAGAGGACCAGACTAATGCTCTGGGGAACATGGATTCAAATTCAGGAACAAAAACAAAATTGCTGGAAAAGCTCAGCAGGTCTGGCAGAGTTAACATTTCGGGTCCGGTGACCCTTAACTCTGTTTTTTCCTTCACAGATGCTGCCAGACCTGCTGAGCTTTTCCAGCAACTTTGTTTTTGTTCCTGATTTACAGCATCCGCAGTTCTTTTGGTTTTTATGGGTTCAAATTCAATTGATAGAAATCCACAACTGAAATCTAGTCTCAGTGATCTTGAGAATATCATTGTAATAAAGGCTCATCTGGTTCCTAGTGTTCTTTAGGGAAGGAAACCTGCTGCCCTTACCTGGTCAGGTCTACACGTGACTCCAGACCCATAGCAATATGGTGGACTTTTAAAAGCCACTCAGTCAAGGGCAATTAGGCATGAGTAATCAATGCTGACCTTGCCAGTGTTACCAACATTTCAGATTTTTTTCTAAATCAACCTGTTCATAGTTAGGAGAAAACGTCCCATGACAGAATAACAAACTGTTTTAAACATGTCAAGTAGTGTGTATTGTTCAAGCTGTGTAGGTGTAACCCAATTGCTGTTCCTTCAATCGTGTACAACATTTCAGTCCTGATCCACACTATTTGTCACAATTGGAGATTTTCTTTTCAATTTCCTACAATCAACACCAATCCTGTCTGTCTGTCAGTCCAAGTGGGGAACGGTGCAAATACAAAGCAGAAACAGAAACTGCCAGGAATGCAATGGCTTGCTGAGTGTGTTTACGCTGTAGACACTCCCAGGTCAGGTCCAGCACGGCAAGTTGGAAAGCTCCCGTAGCTCCCAGTCTCCATCCTGGTAGTCCCACTCAATGAGAATGCTAGCTCATGCTGCTGGCCCACAACAAGCTGGATTCAGACAATCCATTCCCATGTCTAGTTTTTTGTCCCTGGAATAGGTTGCTGGTCTGTCACCAGAGGCTGTAGCTTGAGGGGTGCCACTCCACATTGAGCAAACCAGTTTGGTCATATTAAGAAACGCACATTTCTTGTGCCATCAGCTCCAAGGCTTGAACCTGGGCCTTCTGACTCAGAGGTAAGGACACCACCCACACTGTAGATCGTGGATATAGAGTCACAGAGTGCAGAAAAGGCCCTTAGGCCCCCAAGTCTGCACTGACAATAACTACCATTACAGGCACTATGCATATTATGATATTTCAAGTACTGATCCAGATTTTTAAAAAAGGTTGAAAGGTTTCTGGCCTCCACTACCTTCCCAGGAAGTGCATTCCAGATTCCCACCAGCTGCTGAGTGAAAAAGTTTTCTCTTAAATCCTCTCTGCATCTGCTGCCCCTTACCCTAAAACTATCCCTCTTGTGACTAACCCCTCAGCCAAGGGGAACAGCGGCTCCCTATTCACCCTATCAATACCCCGCACAATCTTATACACCTTAATCATGACCCCCTCAGTCTTCTCTGTTCCAAAGAAAACAATCCAAGCCTATCTAGTATCTCCTTATAGCTCAACTTCTCCATCCCAGGCAACATTCTGCTGAACCTCCTCTGTGACCCTTCTAGTGCTATCACATCCTTCCTGTAGTGAGGTGACCAGAACTGCAGACTGTATTCAAGCTGTGGCCTGACCGACACTCGATAAAACTCCTTGCTCTGATATTCTAGACTTCAGCTCGTATAAACTATACTGGGACTGTACAATTTCTCTCAAGAATTCACCAGCATGTGGCCTGTAATCTGGGTTGAATTTAAATCTAAGATAACGAGGTGAAGAGCTGGATGAACACAGCAGGCCAAGCAGCATCAGAGGAGCAGGAAAGCTGACGTTTCGGATCTGGACCCTTCTTCAGAGAGAAAAAAAATGTTCATTCAGCTCTACACCTTGTTATCTCAGATTCCAGCATCGGCAGTTCCTACTATCTCTGAATTTAAATCTAGCTCACTCCTGGGGCGGGGGGATTACTCACTATTGCCCCAGTCATCTTCACTTCGAAATAACTCCGGAAACATCAGCTTCTGTACACTCTGCATCACCCTCAGCAGCGATAATAAATTCAGAGAACACCCCTAACAACACGACAGTGAAAGCATTGCCGAATTTAAACTTGGAACAGCTAGAAACCTACTCTGTGCACCCTTATCTCTGGCGGCGGTGGCTGGAAACGTCGGTGGAGCACGGAGAATAGTCTATGTTGCCAATAGAACCAAAACACTTCTGGTAGTATTCCCAATTTTAAAACCCCTCCCCCCGCAACAACCCTCAAACAAATTACGAATATTCTTCCAATGAATTGATCCGTTTAAACATACTCCGGATACACCACCCTAACTGCAATTCCATTCAGCCGCTGCCGTGGCGAAGAATCAGTCACCCGGTCAGCAATTTCCCAGCGGGGACGACGCAAAGTAGCCAGAGGGGAATCTCACCATGAAGCCAGCGAGCGCTAAGACCCAGCGGCTGTCAACCCAGGGAAAGCTGTGCGGAAGCAGAAAGCGGTGCTGCGGCTCCAGCTGACCACGAGGTCCCAGCTGTTTCCCGCCATTGCTGAATGTTTTTACTACAACACCGTACGTGTTTTAAAAAAAACACGCGAGTCTGCCAACAACAGCTTTGCTCTTTTTGTGTGTGTTTTGGAAACTGGATGCAAAGGGTTCGATGGCTTATTACGCGGGGCAGAAGACCTTGCAAGAATTCCGCAAGGCGGAGAAAGAAGTGATTGGAGGCTTATGCAGGTTTGTATCCAGTTTGTTTATTTCCGAAACAATGTATCAATGGAGAAACATCAGGAGAGGGAGATGTTTAGATACCACCTACACGTGGATGGGTGTTGGAAGGGGCAATCCCAGAGCTTTGCGCCGGAGGGAAGGGTCAAGTTTTTATAAAGCGAGAATGCAGAAAGAGCAGAAAAGCAGCTGGAAAAAAATGGTCCTTTTTTAAAAAAAAAAGTACTGGCAATAAAGCTAAACTAGGAGACGGGATCCTAGCAGCAGTCGCGGGAGACAACCACGTGGGATTCGCTTGGATCACCAAACGTTCCATTTTGGAATCTCGCAGCGATTGTATCCAAAGTTTGCAACATTTAATAATGTATCAACGTTCCAAATGGCTGCGCACGTGGGGAATTCCCTCGGCTGCAACCCCTTTTCAATCAGATTTTCTTAGCTTCTTGTCCAACAGATAATGGCCGCTGCTCTCCTCTCTAATTTGTTTTGTAATAGAGGGACCCTCCCACTTTTTTTAGAAATTCGTGTCCTCCTTCGAAACAAGCAAAAGTTACATTTTCTTCTCCACTCCCATCTGTTTTATCTTTCATTTTTCCTTTAACGAATCGCAAGTTCTACTTCAATATTTATTTTCGCAGGATTTGAGAGAGGAAACCCTGTTGTCTGTTTGTTGTTCTTAGTAGTAGGAATTGCGTACAAGCCTGTGAGAGAGCATTTTAAAGCGTGCTTAATAACTCTGTTTCGGATGCATTTCTCGTTGGAGGAGCCAGGAGAAGAGAATATTTGCGTGTTGATGGGTCATCCGATCTGAGAGGAGTTGGGTTTAAATACATATTTTTAAACGTATGTGCCCACTCTTACCGCAACATCCCCGTAGGAAAAAAAATCCAATTCAAGTCCAGTGCCATATTTTGTTGGTCGCCGCGCAATAAGATTTCGCTAACGTTGAGGGAAAGTGTCTCCAAACAACCATCGCAAAGCAACTTTAATGAATGGTCAATTTATTTAATTCAAACTTCTCAATCTTTTATTTTAAAATGGGAAGACGTAACTGAGTTAAATTTTAATATCATAAAGAGTGCCTTAGATACATAATTACCAGACATTTGTTTTAGAAACTTGACCACCTTATCCAGTTTTCGAGAAATGTAATGACCTCCATACACGTTCAAAATATACCCGATTTATCATGAATGTGAAGTCTTGAGGAAAAAATGCAAAAATCAGTTTGAGGAAGACGAAACAAACGATTTCTCTCTTTTAAAAAAAAAACTTATATCAGTAATTTATTACGTACTATCGTATTAGCATAAGATCCGCTGTCCTGGAACTCATTGAAGAAGTTTTGGAGAGGGACATGTGGTGAATTTTATGAATGGACCTGCAATTGACTCGACTGTTGGCGAATACGATTGGTTGACGAAGCTGTAGTCGGATTGTGATGGGCAACGTCGCAAGGGGGCGTGAACTCAGGGGTGTTTCGAACTGATTTGTGTTTACACTCCTGGATGTGTACAGGACCATAAGAGTCCATTGTATCAGCAGGATCTTCTTAGTATAATGTTCTGCTCCTTCATCGCTGCTTGTGTTTTTTGTAAGTAAAAAGTAACTATTCCGTTTTATGTTGCCTTAACCCAAAATGCAGTTGCTGTGCGTCAGCCGTGACTGAGTGGATCCTATACATGCCTCTGAATCACAAGATTCAAGTTCCACTGTAGGGCTTGAGCTCAAAAGTTAAGGCTGACACTCCAGTGCAATACTGAGCAGGTGCAGCATTGTTGGAAGTAATATTTGTGCCACACAATGACCAGGTCCAAAAGATAGATTCTAACTGTTTCCCCTTGATACTCAATATCATTGTCATCTTTGAATCCCTAAATATCAACATCCTGGAAGTTACCATTGACAAGACTGAACTAGACCTACCGTAAAAATACAGCGGCTAAAAGATCAGGGCAGAGTATGGGAAATCTGTGGCAAATAACTCCCCTCTTGAATCCCCAAAGCCTGTCCATCATCTCCACCTGAAGAAACTTCGATACCGTCCAGAACAAAACACATCTCATCTCCCCCTTAAACTTTCACTCCCTTCACCACCAACACACAGTGGCAGCACTACATACTGTCAATACAAGATGCACTGCAGTAGCTCAGCAAGGCTCTTTAGACAGCACCTTCCACAAGGACAAGGGTAGTGGGTGAGCAGGGACACCATCACCTGCAGGTTTTCTCCGAGCCACTCATCATCCTGACTTGGAAATATATTGCCATTCCTTCACTATCACGGGGTCAAAATCCGGGAACTCCTTTCCTAACAGCGCTGTGGGTGTTCCTTCAGAAAATGGACTGCAGCAATTCAAGAACTGCAGCTCTGCAGGGCAATTAGGGATGGGAAATTAATGACAGTGAAGACAGTAATGCCCATATCCCATGACATGAGGAAAAACATTTGCACAAAGCAATTGGTTAAAATTTCAATGCACCTTCTAAGATTGATTTATTGTTGTCATGTGTGCTAAGATACAGTGTTGTTTTGCATATACAGTATTGTTTTGCATGCTATACAGGCAGGTTGTACCATACAAAGTGCATCAGGGTAGCAGAGCAGAGTACAGAGAGAGAGAGAGAGAGAGAGATCAAATTAACATTTGAGAGGTCTGTTCAAAAGTCTAATAACAGTGATGGAGAAGTTGCTCTTGAATCTATTCGTACGTATATTCAAGCTTTTATACCTTTTGCCTGACGAAAGAGGGTGGAAGAGAGTATAACGGGTGGGAGGCGTCTTTGATTATGTTGGTTGCTTTCCTGAGGCAACAGGAAGTATAGACGGAGTCAGTGGATATAAGGCCGGTTTGCGTGATGGATTGGGCTGTGTTTGTGACTCTATAGTTTCTTGTGCTCTTGGGAAGAGCAGTTGCTATACCACCCTGTGATGCATCTGGATAGAATGCTTTCTATGGTGCATCTATAAAGATTGATAAGAGTCTTTATGGACATGCCAAATTGCCTTAGCCTCCTGAGAAAGTAGCAATGTTGCTGTGCTTTCTTGACTGTAGTGTCAACGTGGGTGAACCAGGACAGTTTGGTGATCACTCCCAGGAACTTGATGCTCTCGACCATCTTTACCTCAGTACTATTGATACAGACAGGGGCATGCCTTCCACTCCACTTTCTGAAATCAATGACCAACTCCTTCGTTTTGCTGATGTTTATGAAGAGATTGTCTTTACACCATGCGACTGTCTCTTTCCTGCATTCTGTCTCGCTGTTGTTTTGAGATCTGACCTATAACGGTGGTGTCATCAGCAAACTTGTAAATGGAGTTGTGGCAGAATTTGGCCACGCAGTCACGAGTGTATAAGGAGTATAGTGGGGGCGGAGTACACAGCCTTGCAATGCACCGGGCATTGAGGATTACGGTGGAGGACGTGCTGTTGCCTATCCTTACTTGTTGCAGTATGGTTCAGGAAGTCCAGGATCCAATTACAGAGGGAGGAGCCAAGACCTTGGAGTTTAGAGATAAGTTTGTTTGGAATTATGGTGTTGAAGGCGAAGCTGTAGTCAATAAATAGGTATTCTTGTTGTCTAGATGTTCCAGGGATAAGTGTAGGGCCAGGTATATGGCATCTGCTGTGGACCTGTTGCACTGATAGGTGAATTGCAAAGGATGAAGGCAATTTGGTAGGCTGGTGTTGATGTGAGCATGACTAACTTCATAATTATGGAGGTCAGAGCCCGGGGGGGGGCGATACTCATTGAGGCACGCTGTACGATTTTTCTTTGGCTCTGGGGTGATGGTGGTCTTCTTGAAGCAGGTGGGGAATAATCCAAGGTAGAATCAATTGAGGCATTGGGCAGCATGGTGGCTCAGTAGTTAGCACTGCTGCCTCACAGTGCCAGAGTTTGATTCCAGCCTGGGGCGACTGTCTGTGTGGAGTTTGCATATTCTGCCCATGTGTATGTGGGTTTCCAGTGGGTGCTCCAGCTTCCTTCTGTAGTCCAAAGATGTGTAGGTTGGGTGGATTGGCCATATTAAATTGTCCTTCGTGTCCAGGGATATGCGGGTTAGGTGGATTAGCCATGGTAAATGCCGGATTACAGTGATAGGGTACAGGCGGTGGGTGTAGGTGGGATGTTCTTTGGAGGGGTGGTGTGGACTCACAGTAGGGATTCTTAAAAGGGAATTGGATCGTTTTTTGAAAAGGAAACTTTGCTAGGGCTTTGGGGAAAGGACAGGGTAATTGATCTGGATGAATTGTCTTACAGAGAGCGGGCACAGACAAAGGGCTGAATGGCCTCCTCCTGGCTGTATTTATGAAAGAATAAGTAAAGCTACTGTCCTGTGGATGAGACATTAAACTTGGCCCCAGCTGCATTGCTGAAGTAAGAGATCCCGTGATTTTCCAGGGCTTTCTCCCCAGTGTCCTGGGCAATATTTATTCCTGAATCAATATCACAAAGACCAGATAATCAGTCTTTCTAATCACTTTCCTGTTTGTGGGGATTTGTTAAACACAAATGACTTGTTGCATATCCTATATGAGAATAATGACCACTCTTCCAGATAGTAAAGCACTTTGAGACCTCTGGCAGTTATGAAAAGCACCATTTAAATGAAAGTCCTCGCAGTCACAGGCTGATCCAGTACTGAAGGAGGCAATTTGGCCCATTGTGCCCATGATGGCTTTTCAAAAGATTTCTCCAATTGATATCTCCTCTGCTGTTTTTCCCATATCCCTGCAGTTTCTTCCTTTGTAAGTTTCTATATCTAATTTCCCTTTCGAAAGTTGCTAATTTTACTTTAGTCACCTCTGGCTCTTTTAGCAATGACCCTTAATCTTGTTCCGAGTATCTGGATGTTTTTCAAATGTTGAAAAAATACTTTGTAACAATTGGATTAGGAGGGATTTGAAAGGGTTTTGCTACACATTAGGGAATTTTCTCTTTCTAACCTTCTCCTCCCTATTCCCAAACAAGGTGAGTCATTCAGCACAGTTGTCCCAGAGGTATTGCTAGCTCTGTAATACCCAGTATGTGGCTATTTCCTTGCATAATTTCTGTTGGTGATGGTTAGGTTTTCATCCACAGGGAATTCTCAGGGAGCATAATGTTCCCCTGTGATTGCAATCAGTTTGCCATAGACCCTGTTTGGAATACCAAATTCAGTTTTTGGCAGTTAATCTTAGGAGGGTTGGAGGGTGACGTTGTGAGGGAGCATGGTGAAGCAGATTCATTATAATGAGAGCAGGGTTTTAAAGGGTTAAGTTAGAAGGACAGTTGTGTCAGCCTTGTATCCGTCCCCTTGATAGCAAAAGATTCTGGCTAATCTGATTGAGGATTTAAAGGTTTGATTGGCCAGATAAAGAGCAAGGTTGCCTTCGACGATTGAGTCAAAGGACATATATTTGAGAGAGAAACTGGAGATGGGACAGACAAACATACACACCCTCCAAAAGCCATGGTTTGTTGGACCTTTCAAGACGGATGAATGTCAGGATTTTGTTTGCTTAGATCATCAAGGGGCCAGGAATGGAGCTCAGGTACAAATCAGTCCCAATCGAATAGCACAGTGGGACAGCTTCAAAGGGCTGAACGGACTCCTCTTGATTCAGATTCACTGGCCAGGTGGCAGCCCCTCTCAAAGGAACTGATTCCGAGCGTGTGGGTGTTTCTCAAAGAGTAAAGAAGATTTTACAGCAAAATTTGAGGTGGCACAAGAAGGTCTTTTAACAACATCAGCTTGACTCTTAAGGTTTGGCGTTGTGTGATCAGAGCTGACTTTGATAGAAATATCCCAGTTGTAAGCGATAGAGAGGGGGAGGAAGTTTGGTATTTTGGGACCTCTGGGCCTGCTAACAGCCCAGTCCTGAGGCCAGGCAGCCAGTGTCTGCTGCAGCTGTTTGTTCATTTTGCTGCGATCACCTGGGCCGGATATTCCGTTTGCCACTCGAGACTTTGGCTGCTTTTCTGAATGTTGGACTGGGTCCAAGAAGTGAATTCTGGCACGGACCCAGCTGTGGGACAGAGGGCCCTGTGAGCAGCACGTCTCCAGCACTTGCTGATAAACAACTTGGGCTGGTCCAAGCGCTGCTTTAATTTTTGTTTCAAAATGCATTACAGAGGACTGGGGCAAAGCGCCAAGATACAGTGTCGTCACTGAGTTAATTTAAAAAGAAAAATATCGCCACGGATGAACTGCAGAAAATTGGATGTCAGCCATGACATGATCTACTTCTTGTTCAATGCCCTACACGTTCATTACTACTCAATGCTCTAAACCCATCACCTAATGTTGCCCCCTACCCCCATCCTCTATCCTTCAGTGCCACTCGACCCAAAATGTTAACTCTGATTTCGCTCCACAGATGCTGCCAGACTTGCTGAGCTTTTCCAGCAATTTCTATTTTTTGACTCTGACTTACAGCATCCGCAGTTCTTTCAGTTTTATTTTACATAGAATACAGCAACTAATTCAGGCTATTCAGCTCAACAGCTGCACATATCAGCCTCTCTCCTGCGACAATGAGGTGTAAGGTGTATTTTATCTTGGTTTTTATTATGAAGAAAGGTGGAGGCAGAGGCGTCAAACAGTCTGCTCCAAAGCAAATAAAGTAAACAGCTTGTGAGACCTTGTGCTTTTTTTAAAAAAGTTGGTACAATAGAAGCAACCTGAATGGGTGGTATCAAGCTCCAACAGAACCAGGATTTTTAGTTTTAGGTTTTTGGATATAGAAGCTCTTATTCGTCTCCCTGTTACAGCTAAAAGCTGGGGTTCTGTTCCTGTTGCTCAAATTGCATGTGAGACCTTATTTTACTCAATTTGCCTTTGTCAAGGGGGTGTTTATGGGATATTACTATATTGGAACAGATAATTAGTAGTTAATATATATTATTTTGATAGTTACAATTGAGCCAATTCCTTTTTTTTTGTCTGTATTTTAAACTGTAGTGTGAAAATAAAGTATGTTTTGCCTAAAGTCAAGTAGTTTGACCAATCGAATTGTATCCGGAACGCAACGCCTGACAGTTCGCCTAGACTCTAACTTTTTCTTATTTTAAAGGTATCTTCTTAAAATATTTTGAGGGGGTTTGGTCTGGTCCATAACACTCCCTCCTCTCCACGCATTTCAGCTACCTCGTGACAGGATTCCAGATCCTCTCAGATTCAGATTCTAAGTGCAGTGAGAGACCAGGATTTGCTGAGAATCTGGTGACAATATTGCAGAATCTGGCAAATTGGTCAACATGGGTCGAGTGGAGGGAGTGAGATTGTGGGTGTGATGGAATTAATTGTTAGACTGTTGAACCTGGGTTAAGGGAAATCCTGTACTGTCTAAAGGCCATTCGGTCCCAACTATTATCCTATCTGTGAAGAATGGGCAACTGCTTGCCTTCAAATGTGAATCGCACAGTGGTCGTGCTTGGTATCCTCCTTAAATGTGATCACGACACCATCTCAAACTGGTGGAACTCCAGCAGAGAGGAAAGTGGGAATAGGGCCTGAAACTGCGCTGAATCACATGTTAGCCATTTTTTTAAAATATAAATTTGTTCATGGATGTTACTGGCTTGGCCAGCACTTTATTGCCTATCCCTAAACTGCCCAGAGGACATTTGGGAGTCGACCACATTGCTAGAGCACTTATGGCTCTGTCCCTATTTCTGGCCCAGGAGACCTGGGTTCAAGCCCCACCTGCTCAAGAGGAATGTCAAAACATCTCTCAATGGATTGATTAGAAAATATGTTCAATCTCATTGCTGTGGGTCTGGAGTTGCATGTAGGCCAGACCAAGTAAAGATGGCTGTTTCCTTCCCTAAAGGACATTAGTGAAGCAGATGGGTTTTTCCCAACAATTAACAATGATGGCACAATCACCATTGGTCTAGTTCTTTATCCCAGATTTTTTAGTTTATGGAATCTAATGTCCCTATTTGCCATGGTAGGAACTTTTGCCCTGGGGTTCTAGATTACTAGTTTAAGTGACTTTACCATGTTGACACCACCTTGCGATCTAAGTTTCAATGTGGGGTTTTCAGATCTTCATGCAAGCTCAGGCCTGACTTCTGAGTTCCTTTTAAAGAACTGTTAGCAGAGTGTAGATGAGAGAACAGCAATCTCCCAGCTATCCAGGTTGCAACCTGCTAGCAGAATCCAAGCACATGACCACTGATGTCACATCTATGTCACAGCTTAGCTCAGACACTTCTGCACATTCATTAAAATTCTGTCCTTAAAAGAACTGACTGCTAAGATCAGAATATTTGTATGATTTAAACCAGGGAACCTAACGACACAGGACATACACCTAAACTGAATCATAGAATCCCTACAGTGTGGGAGCAGGTCATTTGGCCCATCGAGTCCACACCAAACCTCCAAAAAGCATCTCACCCAGACCCCACCCTGTAACCCTGCATTTCTCATGGCTAACCCACCTAGCCTGCACAGCCCTGGACACTGGGCAATTTAGCATGGCCAATCCATCCTAACCTGCACATCTTTGGACTGTAGGAGGAAACCCAGCAGCTGGAGAGAACATGCAAAGTCCACGTTTTAGCCGAGGCTGGAATTGAACTGGGTCCCTAACGCTGAGCTCCTGTGGCATCCAATGTTAGGACTCAAAATGTTGCTGCTTGTTTGGAATTTAGTTTCTCCTGTTCTGAAGAAGTCATATTAGGCTACAAACATGAACTCTGTTTCAGGAAAGTGCTGGAGAATCGGAGCATGTTAGGCAACATGGAGACAGAGAAACAGAGAGTTTGAGTCCAGTGACCTGATGAGGTTCTCTAGCAATTTCAACTTTTGTTTCAGATCCTCAGCATCCGCAGGTCTTTATTTTGTTAACTTTGTGTTTTTCTCTCTCCACAGAAGTCACCAGACCTGCTGAGTTTCTCCAGCAGTTTCTGTGTGTTTTTTTTTGAAATTTGAGATCTCCGGAATGCGTGCGATTTTGATTTGATGGTCTCAGTTCCTATTGTCTCTCTGTCTCTTGTCGTTCACCGCAGCCTCTCGAACATCGCGCTGACACCGGAGAGCCAGCGGGATCACGACCGGAGGATCCGCAGGGAAATAGCCAACAGCAATGAGCGCCGGCGCATGCAGAGTATCAATGCTGGCTTCCAGTCGCTCAAAGTGCTGCTGCCTCACACAGATGGAGAGAAACTCAGCAAGGTTTGTTCACACCTGCAGGATCCATCTTCCTTCCTTCCATTGTCCTGAGCGAGCAGCCTGGCGCCTGGCAAACAAAAGCTTTTCCTGCGTTTTTTTTAAAATTGGAGCTTTGCGCAACGCTTTCCTAAAGACTTGAACTACACATCCACAGCTTGTTTTGTGCTTCTGTTTTAAGATTTTATTTTCTTGTTGGCTCATGGTCTCAGTTTTCTGCCTTGCCCCACGCTCCCCCGGTGCCTGACTCTGCTCGGCACTAACTGTGATGCTCCCGTGATCGATCAGCCTGATGGTGTTGGCTAATCTCCGACAGCACAGGAATCTCTGAGCCTCCCCCACCCGTGCTATGAGCTTTTTTAATTCCATTCCCAAACTAGCTCACAAGGTGGAGGTTCGGGAGCTCTTTTGCATAGACAGCGCTGAGGGGCAGAGTCCTTAAGGCTGAGATAGATTGGGTAATCGGTCGGTAAATCGAAGGTAACGGAGAAAGACAGGAAATGTGGATGTAAGGAATGTCAAATCAGCCTTGATCCTATAAAATGATAGAGCAGCTCGAGGGGCTGAACGGACTGCTCCTGTTCCTATTTCTTATGGTCTTATAGAGTGATACATGGGAGCTAGTCTCCTTATCTGTCCTTGCCTGATGGGGTTGACACTTTGTGGTTCATACATATACAACTAGTGAGCTGCACTTCCCACTGACCAACTTTGGCACCTCGATCAACCCTTTTGGGAACTGTGCCTTCAGCTGCTATTTCCCCCCACCAAAACCTCTCCATTTTTCTACATCTCTCCCTCTCTTCCTTAGTGACTCTTTCTTCCAACTGGCCTCTTTCTGCAATCTATTGATTGCCTGCCCTGACCCTTTGCTGATGTTACTGTGCCACATAGATGCAAGTTGTTGTAGAACGCAGTGCGCAATGAACTTTTCGGAATCTTACAGCACAGTGGTAGTATCTCTACCTCTGGGCGAAAAGGTCCTGATTCAAGTCCCACTTTGGGATGTGATGGCTGCAGCGATGTGTCATAACATGATTGATTGATTGAAAAAACGTACAGAAAATAAATTCTGGAAGGTGATTGATTCTTGTGCCTCTCTTCTAACAGGCAGCAATCCTTCAGCAGACTGCTGAGTATATCTTTGCTTTGGAGGAGGATAAGACCCGATTGGTGCAGCAAAACGCACATCTAAAGAGACTGGTCCAGGTGAGCAGGAGAGTGGGTTGGCATGGAACCTGCAGCCAATGTAAGAACCACTTGCTGGCCTTACAGGAATGTCACAGCACACTTTGTGCATTAAGTTTCAGTGGTTAAAATGGACAAATGCTTTGGGCTTCCACACTGCGCATCTCCAAGGAGGAGATCAAAATTCAGGAATGGAAACATAAAATAGTCACTAATATATCCAATCGCGAATTCAGGAGAAACCTCTTTATTCACAAATCGGTGAGAACGTGGAACTCTCTCTAGCATAGTGAATGGTTTAGATGAATTACAGGTGGATTTATGTGAGGGTTTCACTCCTGGAAAACCTCACAAACAGTGAACGTATTTTATAATGGGAGTCAATTCGTGAGGTTCTAACAATCCAAAAATCAGGTTGATATAGAGGATAAAAGACAACAAAAATAACATTTTTGACAAATATGAACAAATTACTAAATTTGTAGATGGTGCTAAGCTATGGAGAATAGTGAATTTGAGGATAATGCTTGAGCAACTTATAGAATCATAGAGATGTACAGCACGGAAACAGACCCTTTGGTCCACCTTGGCCATGCCAACCAGATATCCAAAATTAATCTAGTCCTATTTACCAGCATTTGGCCCATATGCCTGTAAACTCTTCCAATTCATGTACCATCCATTTGTCTTTTAAATGTTGTAATTGTACCAGCCTCCACCACTTCCTCTGGCAGCTCATTCCATGCACGCACCACTGTCTGCATGAGTAAGTTGCTCCTTAGGTCCCTTTTTAAATCTTTCCCCTCTGACCTTATGCCTATGCCCTCTAGTTTTGGACTCCCCTAACCTGGGGGGAAAAAAAACTTTGGCTGTTCACCCCATCCATGCCCCTCATGATTTTATAAACCTCTCTAAGGTCACCCCTCAGCCTCCGACACTCCAGGAAAAGTAGCCCCAGCCTACTGGGCCTTGCCCTATAGCTCAAACCTTTCAATCCTGGCAACATCGTTGTAAATTTTTTCTGAACCCTTTCAAGTTTCACAATATCCTTCCTATAGCAGGGAAACCAGAATTGAACGCAGTATTCTAAAAGTGGCCTAACCAATGTCCTCTACAGCCGCAACATGACCCTCCCAACTCCTATACTTCAGAGGGATATGGACAAATTGGTCAATTGGGCAGATACCTGACAGATGAACTTCAGTGCAGAGAAATGTGAGGTAATGTATTTTGGTAGAAAAAACATGGAGAGACCATACTGGCTCGTGGTACAACTTTGAGGGGAATACAGGAGCAGAGGGACCTCGGGGTTCATGTGCATAATTCTCTGAAGGTGACCAGGCAAGTTGAAACATTTGTTGAGAAGGCTTATAGGATCCTTGGGTTTATAAATGGAGACATTGGGTATAAAATCAAGGAAGTGTTGCTGCACCTCTACAAATCATTGATCAGACCACATTTGGAGTATTATGTTCAATTCTGGACACCTTGTTTAAGAAAGATGTTAAAGCCCAGAAGAGAGTACAGAGGAGATTTACTAGAATGATGCCAGCAATGAGGAATTTTGTATACAAAGGAAAGATTGAAGAAATTAGGTTTATTCTTCTTAGACCAGAGAAAATTAAGAGGTGACCTTATTAAGGTGTTCAAAATTATAGACAACTTTAACAGAGTAAAGAAGGATATTCTGTTTCCACTGGTTGGTATGTCAGTACCTAGAGTTTCGAGATTGTCAGCAAGAGAACTAGGTGTGAGATGAGGAGAAACTTCTTTGATTTGAGAGTTGTTAGGATTTAGAATGTTCTGCCTGCGAGACAGGTGGAGGCAGGTTCCATCAGAGGTTTCAAAAGACAGCTGGATAGACATTTGAAAGTGATGAATTTAAAGGGCTATGGAGATAGGGCTGGAGGGTGGGACTAGTTGGATAGCTCTTTCAGGAGCTGGTACAGACACAATGGATTGAATAGCCTCCATCTGTACTGTAAAATTCTATGATTCTAAGTCTACTGGAAAAATTGTTGAATAGAATAATGTAAAGGGGAACAATGTTTCAGTTTGTATGAGCAGATGGTACTGATTGGTTGGCAAGTAAAACTGTTGACATTAGGAATGCACCAGTTAGATGATGATTGATAGTTAACTGTCAGGCTTTGCTTTAAATTTAACTTGGCATGTTGACTCTTGATTCGTCAACGCATTGCCCTGAGGAATGAACCGGAGAACAGCTTTCAGCTACTTTGTTCAGTTTTTTTTGATCACAGTATGTGTACGTGTTCTTTTTGACTGTGGTGAGTTGGACTGACAGTGTGGCCCACTTGCACAATACTGGAAGTTACATACACAAGGCCCTGTTTTCTGCAGATACTGGTCTCTCTAGCAACGTAATTTATCAGTTGTTAGATGCCTACAAACCCTTAACTGAAGATTGCTGAAAAGAGAGTTGTTGCTGAATCTTTTCATCTTGTACTCATCAGGACAAATGCAAGAATGCCCCATTTCAAACAATCAGGTGCAGGGACCTTTCCTTGCAAACAAAATTTACTTGGAAGCTTAGGGAGCCAGTTGGTTTCTCCATGGTAACACATACGCCAATCAGATTCTTGCTTGATGGGAATGCAGATTTGACCACTTTGATAGTGGCATTGTGGTAATGTTCCTGGCCTAGTGACCCAGAGTGCTGGGGACACTGGTTCAAATCCCACCACAGCATCTAGTGGAATTTAAATTCAACCAATGATTTCCTAAAGAAAAATCAAGAACATAAAAAGCTGGTCTCAATGATGGTGACCATGGCGTTGTTGTTGATTTGTTGTGAAACTCATTTGGTTTACTAACGTCCTGTAGGGAAGGAAAACTGCCATCCTTACCTGGTCTGGTCTAGATGTGACTCCAGACCCAGTGCAATGTGGTTGACTTTTAACTGCCCTCTGCGATGGCCTGGATAGCCAATCAGTTCAAGAGCAATTACAGATGAGCAACCAGTGTTGGCCTTGTCAGTGACATCCACATCCCATGAAATAATAGATTCCTTTTAATAAGCTAAGGTTTGAGTGTAACTTGGATATGTTTAAAGGGAAGCAGAAAGACATAGAGTGGGCATCACAGGAGCAGCCACTAAACCTCTGCCAAGAGATATGCTTAACACTCAACTTCTTTTCATCTAAACCTATTAGCAGCAGATCCTTCTATACCTCAGCCTTTCACATACTTTCTTAGCTGTTTCTTCCATCCATCAATACCATACACTGCAGCTCGTCCATAGGATACTCTCACCACTCTCGGGAAGCTTCTTCTGAAATCCTTTGTGAATTTGTTAGTCACCATCTTATATTTGTGATCTGGGACGTGCAGTGCCAAACAGCCTTTTTCTGTGTATTATGTAATTCAGTGAGGGCAGCATTTCACAGTATTGCATATTCCAGTACTATAAGTAAATGTATATGCTTAAAGCTCAGTGGTTCATAAAATCTGCTGAGATTAGAGACAGCGTTCTGAATTATCTGCTTTTCCTTCTACCGTCCTGTTCAAAGAAAATGTTGATCCATGTAGGAAAATGAGCAGCTACAGAAAGTGCCGCTGATTTGATTTCTGTTCCATTGCCGCTAGTTCTGCATTGCTTTGTCTGGGCTGACTGTCTATCTGACTGGGGAAGGGGCCACAGCTGCCAGAGCAACTGCTTACTCAACTGGTCAATGCTGGAAACTGCTGCCCATCCAACTGTGCAGCAACAAAAGCAGTGAAACCGACAGTGAGGTGGTTTCTCAGAAACCCTCCAGAGACATGGTTTCAGTCCTGTGTTCTACAAGAGCTGCTCACTGAAGCCCCCAGCTCTCCATTACACAGCTTAAGTAGGATTTTGCAGGAACAGGTCATTCACCTCAGTGAGTCCATGTCTGAGATTAAGCAACTCAAACCTCTTCTCAGCCTTGTTCTTCTCGGGTATCAGCTTATCCTTCTCCTTTCTTCGTCCTGTCGTGGTTTCACTTCCTGCAATGGTAGGGAGTGCCAGTGTCTGGGAAAGAGGTTTCTCCTGAATTTCCTGTTAGATTTCGTGATAGCCATCTTAAGGAGATTGTCCCCTAGGATTGGTCTCTGCCACAAGTGAAACCTTCTGCTCCAAATCGACCCCAATCAGACCCTTTCATCATTTTTTACCATCTTAGTGGCAGAATCTAAATGCTATTAAATTTGAAGGGTGGACAGTGAGAGGACAGCTGCTTTGTGTAGAATAAAGACCTTATTCTCTAGCACTGTGTCATTGCTCACCCACCCCTGGTATATCTGCCCTGCATGGTGTCTTTAAGAATTGTCCTTGTTTGCTCTTGGTGCCATGTGCAAGGCCTGGACGTATTGCTTTTGTTTGCAGAGGATAGGTTCCTGCAAAATATTGTAGGTCACTTCTAGCAAGTGGAAATGAGCCAAGTTATGAGCTTCACCAATTACTTTAAACTGGTGGCTAGTTTGGGGAAGCTGTTCAAGCCTTGAGCCTTTCTTTAGGTAGAAGATCAGGGAGCGCACGATTCCCTGTTGCTGCCTCCATGGTGGCACCTAAGCCAATCAGAGCCAACTTGCTGACCAGTCAGTCTCCTTTTCTCCTGTTGTATAAATTGTTGTGATGGTCTGAAATTTGGCATTTGTCCTGATGAGTGAAAGACAGAAAAACTTTGGTGACTTGTTGCTGTTTTCAGTGGTGTTCAAATTCTGTTCTACCTCACGGCTATTTATAAGTTTTGGGTCATTTACTTGACACTTTTTATACTGAACAAGACAATGCCAGGTCAGGGTGGCAAGAATTGTACTGTGTGCCTGGTCCATGTTACACCTGATCTTGGAGTCCCTGCTATTGGAGGATGAATGTGTGAAATCGAACTGGTTCCATCTATATCCCTAATTTTGGGTGATTCAAATACGAGTCTTTAGAATATAAGAACAGGAGGCCATTCAGCCCTTTCAGTCTGTTCTACCAATGAGATTGTGACACATCTGTGTGTTAACTCAATCATTCACCTTTGCTCCTATATCCCTCTGATTTTTTTTCTCAATAGGAATACAATCTCCGATTTAAAATGTTTAATTGCTCTGCTGATTATTACAAGTTTCATACTTCCACCAACCTTCAGTTAAAAAAGACATCTCTCCTGATGGGCCTAGCTCTCATTTTAATTTAATGTCCATTGGGTGTCTCCCACCAGGAGGCAGGTGACTCTCTCTGTTATCCTGTGTTTGATTCAAAGTCCTTAAAAACCATAGTCAGATCACCTTCCCAGGCTCAGCTCATTTACGTAATCCCTCCTCAAAATCAAATTGTAGGAATACTACTGTTGGCGTATTCTGTATCACAATGTTTCTATGGTATTGACAGCCTTGCTGAGTGAGCCTTATACAAATGTGATTTCTACTTTCCTTCTCCCTCCCTCGACCCCCAAACCTATACCCAGGAATATTCCGGCTCCTCCCCAAAACGGAAACGAGGTGACGAATCCGATGAAGGGATCGGTTCTCCGGATTCCGCAGATGAAGAGCTGGCTGAGTTAAGGCAACACCTGGAGAAGGAGAGGCTGATCCGGATTACACTGGAAGAGAAGGTTTGTTGGTTCTTTGCCCCAGGGGCTGCTGGTACCATGCGCCCATCCACAATTTGCCTGTGACGTGGCCCTTCAGCCTGCCCTCGGGCTTGTGCTTGGTAGCAGACTCCATGTCCTTGCCAACTGGGTTGTTGGTCACATTCCTCACACAGTGCCCAATTCCACTGACTTGACGTTCCCACTTCTGGCTGAAGTATGTGAGGGCCTCCCCACTGAAAGGACAGCGTGGAGTCCCCCTGGAGCTGGGAAAGTGCCACTGGAGCCAGCTGCAGAGAAATGCAGGCTCAGAATTCTTGTCAGGTCCCCCATCTGACCACTGCTTCTGGACTGAGTGGACACAGGAACCCCTCTGGACTACAGCTGAGGGATGAAGTGTGCATCCAGACCATAACGCCACAGAAGCACATGGACGTCCTGAAAAGCCACACTCAGCACCCACCACTACCATCCACAACCCACCATGACACACCTATCATCACACATACTGCACACAAAGACCACACCCTGTCTTAATTTGGGACGAAGATACCCCAAAAACTTTTTTTTAAAAAAAAGGTTCCAAGGATGTGGGAGTGGAATTTGGGGAGGGGAGGGCAGAACTTAACTCATTTGCACTTGCAAAGAGCTGACAGACTGAATGTCCATGCTGTATCACTCTGTGGAGTCACATCAGGCACTGACCCCATCGGCTTTCCGGCCCCTTTCTCCTTTTTGTAGGTGAAAGCTCTGGAGTCACAGCTGCAGCCCAGCGAGCTGAAGGAGATCCTACACCAGGCCCAACTACAGCAGGAGCACGATGTGCTACTGGACCAGCGGAGGCAGCTTCTGGAGGAGCAACAGAGAAGCATCAACACACCAGCACAGGTATCACCTTCTGCAGCTCCCCCCTCCCTCGGGTGGCCTGGACCAGGCTGCATTCTCCATATCCCCATGCCCTCTTCCACTCTATGGAGGAAATTGCTGCCTCCTTGACATCTGTCCCCTATTCCTGAACTTTGACCACCTGGTGCAAGGAGGCCAGTCCGGATATCTCCCTGTGGGCCTGCTCGTAGGGGGCATGGCCAGGCCCAGATTGGAGCCGAGCTGTGGAAGGAATTGTGGTTGATCTTGCGTGGATAGAGTAATGTACTGTGTACTTCATTATGTGGGGGCCTTCCACACCCAATGCATGTCACAGGACCTGGTGCAAAACCAACAATAGACTATTTAACTTAAAACAAATAAAGTACATTTCTTATTTACTACATCCCTTTAAGGAGGCAGTATTATTGACTGACAAGTCTGGGCATTGTCACCTTGGTTTTTAGTTAGAAAACTTTTACACCACAATATTTCAACTTGGGTCTTTAACATGCATTTAAAATGTTCACATTTTACTTTTGTTTTAAAATACTGGGCTACAGCAAGTTGGGGGTAAATGTAGAGTGAAAAATTGGCATGTATTTATTTGATTTAAATCTGAAAAACACAAACGGGAGACTTCACAGAAGCAGCCAGACTGAATGCAAATATATCCAGGCACCTTGTTGTGGTGTCCACATTCATTCCCTCTGTACCTGTTTAAAAACAAAGCTCCCATGTATTATTGCTTCAGTCACTTACTTGCCACTGTGATCATCAAACTACAGCACAGGAAAAAGCCATTCGGCCCAATGTGCCTGTGCCAGCTCTCTGAGTTACTCGATTCGTTTTCCCTTTGGAGTATTTATCCACTTCCTCATTCAATTTTATTATTGAATCTGCTTCCACTCATTTTAAGGCAACAACTCACTGCTTTTTAAAAGAAGTCTTCTCATCTCCCCTCAGGGCTTTTGCTGATTTATTCGTTCTGTCTGGGAATGGGGGTAACGATAAAAACTGCTTGCACAGTGGAACAGCTGCATCCCATGCTTTGGTGTGTAACATTTAATTTATCTTTGACTGACACTGTCAGGTCCTCAGGTGGGATTAGTGACAAGGCATTGCTATCTTTGCCATTAGGCTGAACAGGAATGGAAGGAGTTTGTAAAGATGCCCACCTCCAGAACAGTTGCAGCAAACAGCACAGCAGTCATTTGGTCATACAGAAAGTGGATATTGTTGAAAAGAGAGGCATTTTGTCAAATCTTTTCATCAGGACAGAAAAGAATGCCAATTTTTAAACCATCACAACAATTTATGCGACAGAAGAAAAGGGTACTAATTAACTGTACAAAATTGCTTTCTCAATGGCAATGCCCCAGCCAGTGGAGAACTACAGGCACCCTGTTTTACATGCATGTTGCAGTCATGTGGATCGTAATAGTGGAGACTCTGGTTCCCTTCCATTACAGTGGCCTAGTGGCGATGTAACTCAACTAATAATTCAAAGGCACAGGCTAATGCTCATGAGTTCAAATCCTACCATAGCAGCTGGTGAAATTTAGAATTCAATTAATAAATCTGGAATTGAAAGCTAGTGTCGGAGATGGTGACCACTGACTGTTCTGGTTCAGCAATGTTCTTTTTAGGGAAGGAAATCTGTCGTTTTTACCAGGTATGGGCTACATGTGACTCGAGACCCACAACAATGCGGGTGACTTTTAACTGTGGCCAAGCAAGCTACTCAGTTCAAGGGCAGTTAGGGATGGGCAACAACGATGTTGACATCCTACGAAATGATTTTATTTAAAGGGTGACCCAACAATCTCTCCTGCGTGCACAACCTGCTGGTTGGAAGGATAATCTGTTTGGCTACATTATAAATGCACTTTCCTTAACAAACAAGTTCTGGGGTTAGGCTTGAACTTGGAACTTCTGTTCATTGTGCCATCGGGCCTTAAAGTCCATAGCTAGGACTCACAAATCTGAGATAATTAATGAATACAATAAGGAATCGAGGAGAAAGATCTACACTCAGAATCTGGAATTTCCTCTCACAGGGAGGTGAATAGTGTTGACGTATTTAAGAGAAACTTGGGAGAAAGTAACACAACAAGCTAATGGGGTGAAATGGGAGTTCTCCCATGGGGAGCTGGTATGGATCTTTTGGGCCAAATGGCCTGTTTCTTTGCTACAAGATCAGTATTTAACAAGGACTGGAAGTGATGACAATGGTTGGTGGCAAGGGGGAGGGAACTGGGAGGGGAATCCCATATAATATGGAGCAATGAGTTAATAATAAGTTGTCCTCTGTGCCCCTGGAATTGAGCAGGAGTTCTAGAATGTATTGGGAGACTTATATTTTGGGAATTCCCTTCCCAGCCTGACATTCCTGAAGGAGTTAACCCGCCTTGGTGGCGAGGGCAAGTAGCTGACTGCCCCTTTCTAGGCGCTCTGTGCTACTGTTCTGTCTCTGTTGATTAGTTTTGATTTTCTCCGGTAAATGGATATGGTCACAGCTGCTGTTGCATTTTTCCTTGATCTGTTGCCAGCTCAGCCTCACAGCCTAGCTGGCTGCTCCTTCCGTTCAGACCCATCACTCTTCTCCTGCTCAAAGTCTGCTGCTCCAACTCTGCCTTCTCCTGGAAATTTGTTTCACAGGTAGAAAGTGTTTGACATGCTTGCCTTCATTGCTCAGACCTTTGAGTATAAGAGTTGGGACATAATATTGAGATTATACAGGACATTGGTGAGGCCTCTTCTACTGTGTGCAGTTCTGGTCACCCTGTTATTGGAAGGATATTATTAAATTGGAGAGAGTTCAGAAAAGATTTACCAGGATATTGCTGGGAATGGAGGATTTGAGTTATAAGGAGAGGCTGGATAGGCTGGGATCTTTTTCACTGGAGTGTAGGAGGTTGAGTGGTGACCTTTTGTAGAGGTTTATAAAATCATGAAGGGCATGGATAAGGTGATTAATGACTTTTTTTTTCCCCTACGGTTAGGGGGAGTTCAAAACTATGGGACATATTTTTAATGTGAGAGGAGACATTTTAGAAAGGACATGAAGGGCAACTTTTTTTACACAGAGTGGTTCGTGGTGTGGAATGAACTACCAGAGGAAATGGTGGATGCAGCTACAGTTCCAAAGTTTAAAAGGCATTTGGATAAGTACATGAATAGGAGATGTTTGGAGGGACATGGGCCAAAAGCAGGCAAGTGAGACTAGTTTAAGTTTGGGACCATGGTCAGTGTGGACTAGTTGGACCTAAGGGTCTGTTTTTGTGCTGTATGACTCTATGGGCCTGTGGGTTCCCAAAGGTCACGGTTTCTCAGCAGTCTTCCTGTTTGGGAGTTTCTGAAAGGGTTAAACTGTGTGTGCAGGTTGCTGAGAGTGGGCTTGTATTCCTTCATGTGCAGAAAGTTTGAAGTGTCTTTTAAGATTAAAGCATTCCATTGAGATGGAGAGAAACTGCTTCCTCAGGTGGGAATCTGCAACAAAGGGGCTTTATCTTAAAATCATAGTCAGGCAACTCAGGAATGTTGTTGGAAAGTATTGCTCACATGAAGGGGAGTAGGAATTTAGAACTCTCTGCCTCAAAAATCCTGCAAAGACAGGGCTGAGGGAGGGTAGATGCCAAAGTTAAAATTCAAAACCAAGACTGATACACTTTTGTCGGAAGAGGATATTAAATTGGGTCAATGGAGTTAAGATCCCAACTAGCCATGATCCAGCTGAACTGCAGAACAAGCTCAAGAGGCTGGATGGCCTTCCTCCAGTTCTGAGCTCCACACTAAGTAATATATTTCACTGTTGGAATTTTGGGGTTACCATGTTGCCGTTGAGTTCCATGTCAGATGCTTTGACTGCAAATAACCTAGTAAAAACATGGCTTGTGTCTTCCTCATCTCTATACCAATGGTTTAAATTAAGTCTTTCTATTCGAGACCGTCCCTCTCTGTCCCTGCAATGGCTTGATGTGTGGGGAAGTATTTGTGGAGGTGAGATGGCCACTCCATTCAAGCACAAGTGTTATTCAAACCAACCTTAAAAATGTGCAGGTGTCACATTGCGTAGAAACTCTCGGGAAGTGAGGGTGACAAAGCTTGGTGTTTCCTTCTCTTTCTTTTCCTTGCCCCTTTTCTTGATGATGTTGAGAAGGGAGAATGGGTAAGGAGGTGATCACTGATGGAAAAGTACTCCTCTCATTTCTAATAAAGTACTGGAATGTCAGATTCAATACCCCATACTTACCAACATAGCAGTGAGGCGCTGTGGTTGGTATATTGCAGAGTCAGATCTCAACTATTTTAACAATTTCTTTGTCTCTCTTTCTCTGCATGCCTCCCTTTCTATCTGTTTTTGACCCACTCTTTCTGCCCTATGCCCATCTGTCCCTTCATATCCATTTTTCACTTGCCTGTATTTCTCATCCTATCTTCCACTTTCTCTCTCTACCTGCCTGTCTCTCCCTCCTTCACCATGTATGCAACTGAATTTTTTTTTAACGGCCTGTGATTTTTTTTTTCTGATGTTTCTTGTTTCCCTCCCTGTTAGGTGTCTATCTCACACAGTCCCCCCGCTCCAACTCAACACCCGACAGTCATAGTGCCAGCACCTCTGCCTCCAAGTGTCCTCCAGGTCAATGTGGTAACCATGGCGCCGAGCTCTGTCATCAACACAGTGTCCACATCAAAACAGAACTTGGACACCATTGTACAGGTATGGGAGGTGGGTTCAGAGGGACACTATCACATTTACAGGATCAGATAGCTACAGTGAGTTGAAGGGTTGCTCTTGTGGGTGGTCACTCTGGTCCAGGAAGTTGTTTTCTCTTCCCTTCTGTTAGGACTGAGGTGGCTTGTGGTGTCCTAGTTCTGGCAGATTTGAATTGAGGACCTGAAGCGAGTGCAGAGATGCTGAGTGATGATCTTTCAGCACAGTAGCAGGGTGGGGGTGAGGAGAGCTGACCATTTCATAAAAGGGGACTATTAATATTGACATATGTTCCCATAACAGGGCAAATCAAGAGGGATCACCTCAGTATTAAATTTATTTTATTGTTTTCAGCAGTCACCTAAATATATTCTTTCTCTTCCAAGGCCATTCAGCACATTGAAGCCAACGAGCAAGGCATCAAAGAGGAGCCAGCGAGAGTGGAGAAAGAAATCTCAGCTTTTGTGAACCTTGACAGGATGCAGGAGGGCGTCAAGGAGGAGAGGGAGTGGCATGGGCTGGTGACAGCCTCGCCACTGATAATCAAGAGTTCCTTCAGTGATGTGGAGGCTGAAAGCCAGGACACTGATGGGAGAGATATGCTGGCAGTGCTGAGGAGGCCCAAAGTGGAGGTGGAGCCAGTTCCCTCTGTACTGGTCCCAGGGACTGGTATCCTCTAAGGGAGACTGTAGAGACGTGTCAGTGTGAACCAAGGGAACGGAGGACATTGTGGCCAGTCTATAGAGTTTGAGATTAAGGGAACTTTGAGTGGCATTCCTCCCAAACTAACTCCTTTCTATCCTTCCAGAGTGAGAGCAGCCTTGAATGTACTCTCGTCGCAGCTCTGTGCACATAAAGGTGGAAGGGGTTGATTTTTCTTGGCCAGTTCAGATTGCTGCAGTTTCCTCTCTGGCCAGTTGCATCTGAGAGATAAGTTTGTTGTCTGGATCTCCTGTCAGTGAATTTATTAGCACATATGGCTGACTTCATAATTTCACACCATCCAGGTAAATCCAATATCTGTCACAAAACTTAATTTACTTTAGCAACTACCACATATTAGCAGCAAGTAAACTTTTTAAATATAAATTACACTTTTTAAACAGCCCAATTTTTGATATTTGGTCACCAGTGTCAATCTAAATAGCAAAATAATCAAGCATCAAAATGCAAGGGCAAATGTCTCTTGTGACTGAGTGCGATTACAAGACCAGGTGAGAAAATATTGGACCATTTGTCTCCTAGCAAAAGACTATTGCTTTTTTTTGTGCCTTGCTCCCTGGAAGCTGTGCCTCAATTGAGGTAGTTTGCCCGTGTCATTCACCTATGTGCCCTGTATTTGTTCTCCTTGCTTCTAGAAGCTGACTTTAATGTACGTACCTTGCTTAACAAACGTTGGCAGTCAATTTGACTGGGGAGTAATGCGCATTGTTTGACGCTGGCTTATCGCATGCTCATACTTTCTACTGAAAGGTTACTGGAGAGTGAATTGGCAGCAAGAGCTCAGGCTTCATTACTTTATTCCTGGCCTGACCCAGGAGATCCAATTTAGCAGTGCAATGGATACCTCAGAGCAACTTTGCACAGACCAGAAATGGAAACTGGGACCTTCTGGGCTGGCACTGCACCCTGTAATTCATTTATAGAACTGTGTGATTGGAAGAACCCCAAGACATATTACACCTAAAAATCAGTTATGAAGCAAACACACTGATCAAGCCAAATCCCTTCTCAAAATATTTTAAGAGAAAATATCTGGTTAGCAGCAAAAGATTTGAAATGAGCGAGAGTGTGACCCTGTACCTTCGGGATGCTCTACCCGTGGTCTGAAATGGAGGGGTGGGAAGAGCCATGAGATTAGGTTGTTAAAAATGATTGTAGCCAATTTGGGAACACTTTGGATGGACTCTGCATTCATGTAGATTTTTTTTTTTGAGCAATTTGGGCTGACTAACTGCTTCATGGTGTACAGATGCATAGTGGAGTCACTACAGGGTTTGATGTAAGGCTTTATTGTAGGTGATATCTTTTTACACAATTTCTTTTTCAAAGAAAAAGTGCATTTATGGGATAATGTTAAAGAAGAACCTGGCAGTCTTTTAAACAGATATGAATTATCTTTTATGAGCCACAGTATGAAATGTTGTCAGTGTAGCGTGTGGCAGAACAATCTTTGGTCCCAGGCCTTTCAGTACATTGCTAGAATCTGGTTGGTGTAGCCCAGTCTTAGCAGTGCTACTCCCATCTGTGCATTGTATGGGAGGCAAGGGTTGTATAAAATGTTTTTAGAGCACTTAAAGTTGAGTTTATAAAAGTTATTTTGTTTATTTTCTTAAAATCTCACACTTCAAGTTGTAGTGTCTTTTTAACAATTTGAGTGTAATGCTTTGCGCACAAGATTGACTTGTGACTTTTTCTGAAAAAAGGCTTTGATCTCTAAACTGATGGTTTGTGCTCTTTTTTTAAAAAGAGCACTCCATGTGTAAATGTGTCATCTTGAACGTTGTTTCAGCTGTGCAGAGCAGAGAGGCCCTCAGGATTTCTTCTCTGTCAACTCAAAAAGAGGGTGGATTTACAGGTGTGCTACTGACAGGATTAGCAGTTTCTCGTTGGCTGCCCAGTCACCTTTTGTACAAGCATGGGTGTGAACCATGTGGATTTAGGCTTATCCCAATGTCCAGTAATGTGGCATGCCCTCCAAGTCTGCTTGTAGAACACAATCCATTGATTGAGATACATCAAAGGAGATTAACAGTAATAGCAGGATTGAAAAAAAACACCAAAGGAAACAGTGATAGCAAGTGTGTCCAGGAAAGTGGAGTTAATGATCTGACATGATTTTATAGAATGGCGGAGCAGACTTGTAACCATTTCATCAATTCCCTGCTTTTAGCCTGGTTTCATTGGCTGTCTTCTGGGCTGTAATAACTCTATGATCAGCCATTCAATGTCAAGTCTGTGCCAGTGGAGTAGTTGAGTGTTTCTTTCAGGCTGCTGCTAGTTTCCCACTGGGAGTTATGGTTGAGGTTAAGATGGTTTGTGGCCCTGGGTATTTTTGACTTTTCCTGCTGCAGACATGGTCTACAGCTGTCTGGAAGTGACTGTCATAGGCCAAAAGCCCCACATGGACAAGAGTGAAATTGTGAAAAGCTCTTCAAGTGAATTAGAGAGAAGAAATTTACGTTCTTGCTCTGAGACCCAGAGCAGGTGCAGACTGAGATGGACTGTGACGTGCTTCTGCAATTCATAGAAACTTGTTTTGAGTAAAAGGCCATCTGTGATCCTTGAACACTGGGCACCAGAGGGTGATTTACACCCATTGAAGATTAGACTGAGCAAGAGCTGCACCAACAGAACTTGTGCTTACCCTTCCATGAGGTGAGCTGCAATGCTCATGCCAATAGAATTACAGATCTCACTGAGCTGAGATGGTGTTAATTAGCAGCATCAAGGGTGGGGATGAACACGGACATTTTAGAGTACTCTGGCTGTAGAAGAATAGCAATAAATGAATATGAACCATGCATAAAGAATGATAATTGGTGACCGGGTTGAAAGTGCATACATTAGGGATGCTGTACATGAAGGAATCCTACAGCTTTGTCTATGGGTGTCAGACTCTCCAGCTGCATTGAGGCTAACAGGACATTGTTAGTTGGTTATTTTCTTCATGTTCTAACATACAGCAATGTCATTAAAGCACTACCAGCTTTTTTTCTAAAATAGATGTTTCATTATATTGTGTGTTACTGAGAAATTCTTTCGAAGAACAACACTTCTGGATGTTTTATTTATTGCTTCCTAAACAGAAGGGAGGATGACAATCTGCTCAAGTTGATACTGGAAGATCCCTGTCCATTTCAGCCATCACTTTGCTCAAATGCTACAGCGCTTACTTTGCATGTGAGAGGTAGGAGGAATTGCTGCCCGCATTCTCCACTCCCTTTGGGGGGTGGCACGGTGGCTGTGATTAGCACTGCTGCCTCACAGGGCCAGGGACCCAGGTTCGAGTCCACCCTCGGGCGACTGTCTGTGTGGGTTTCCTCCAGGTGCTCAATTTTCCCCTCCGTCCAAAGATGTTCAGGCTAGGTAGATTAGCCATGTAGTGTTCAGGGATGTGTAGATTAGGTGGGTTATAGAGCATCCCCCTAAGAGTCGGTGTGGACTTGTTGGGCCGAAAGGCCTGTTTCCACACTGTAGGGATTCTATAATATAACATGGCGAGAGCAAAAGTGACAATTTCACCCCAGTTCCACATTTTACTTTTGGTACTAAAAGAAACAACTCCCAAATGACAACAGGCTTAAGGTTCTATCCCTCAGACTCCAGAAAGTGCTAGTTCAGATGGCTGAAGGGGTATCTACAGTTCATCAGAGCCAAAGAGGGGAGGAAAGGGCAGGATATCTACATAGATCATACAGAGGCTGCCCCTTTAATTTAATTTAAAAATTATAAATTCATACCACTGGGTTCTTAATTTCTCCCACAAGTGGGAAATTGTCCACTTGGTCTTTCATCTGCTTCTCCACTACTGAACAAGTATGGTTAATAGTATCTCAAGTTTTTAATATGTATTAAAAAAAGAGCTTGTTCATGAAAAATCAGTCTAGGAAAGTTGAAATAACGTGGGCTTGATACAGACAATTAAGACAATCATGAATTCACCAGATTTTAATCTTATGAAGGAGGCAAACAAAGACATTTTTAGGGTCAGAATAAGTAGAGCTCTCATACTTGATTTTTACATTTATATTTCTCTCTAGTTAGATATTCATCAATCTCCTTTTCAAAATATATTGATTGTTACAGGGGAGAAATATAATTGAGAACCAATTAACCTAGTTGCAACCTCATGGCAGTGGCTATTTGTCCACTTGGGTGCTCAAAGTTGTATGGTGGGTAATAAAGACTAAGCTATCATGCCCCTTTGACCAAATACTCAAGACATTTCAGCTAGGAAGTGCTCAACTTTCACCCCTTTCCCCATTAGAATCTTACCATGAAACTAGTATTTAAGTAGACAGTCATTTATGCTTGGCTGCAGCTCAAAAGGCATTTACAGCCCACTGATACATCTCTGTTTGACCAGAGTACAAGTCTATCAAATTTCTCTTCATATTCAAAAACCACAACATGCAGTGAAATCACTGGAAGTAGGGATTGCTCATCTGTATAATCCAAGGCGACTGACAGCATCCAAACGAATGCCCTTCGAGATTAGCTAACTCAGCAGATTGCGGTACAAGGGCTTCTTTAATATTATCTACTGTAGCAGAGGATTAATCAAGTTTTAAACCTGAAATAGTTCAAGTAAAAGCCTTTGGTTTCATGCCACAATACAAAACTATGTGCTTAACTATGCCAAAGGTAGGTTAGAAGCACATTAATGTCTGGACTCCACAAACAGTTAATTTGTTCCAATGTTTTTCTTTCTAAGGCCAGTCCACGTTTGCATTAAATTCTCCACTCTACAATTTTAAACAGTTTATTTTAGCATTAACTGATTTGCTAAAATAGAAGAGGCATCAAATATCCTCAAAGTTTGTTAGTGAAAGGTTTAATACTCTCAAGTCTCAGTGTGAGTGACAAACCTGTTTCCAGACCCAGGTCACCATAGACATTAAGCAGCATGAGAGTTTATTTGCATGAGCAACAATTTTTTACCGTTTCAAAAAATTCCAAAAAAATCAAAATCTATAAGAAAGAGACTCAAAAATATAGCAGGCTACTCTGAACATTGGGAGGTATATAGATACAAGAGCAGTGCATGGGGTGGTGGGGAGGGAATTCTAATTAAGATTTAATTTCCAACATTCTGTGATCTGCCTCTTTATGGCTTGGCACCAAATTTAGTTGATAGTTTTCCCACAAAGTTCATCACCTTGGGGTTATTCTGGTATTTTGAGATGTTAGCTGGGTTCTGGGCCACATCTTGGAATGCAGCCATTATCTCAGGATCCTGCAGAGAAAAACAGTTAAATAATGCTTTAATAGACAAGGAATGCAGGAAAATGCACAAAGTTTAAGGCAAGCTTCATTAATTTTCTTTTGACTGCCAGTTTCTGAGGCTAAATGAGGATCACAGCATGCTCCCCATCTGTGTACTCAGTTAGCAGATCTCATGAAAAGTGATGGAGCAATCCCAGGTTAGTAATCATGCCAACTTCAACTCCAGATCACAAAATAGGATTACCAGAAGTGCAGCCATCGATAACTCTGACAATAGTTCAGTTCTCATTCATACACCCTTTCTGGAATGGCTGAGGTCACCATGAAGGTTCTACCTTGTTGATCTTGGCCAAGGCCTACCCTCTGGTTAAACCAACACCAGTCATCTCTTTATCATGAGACCTGTCCTATGGTCCTCTGGAACTTTGGCAACTTTACTGTCACCCCCTCCCAATTCACAATACAATTCTATCCAAAGCCATATTAAACATAACTGGGGAGTGATATAGTTTCTTAGCTTTATGTGAAGGTGCATTCTAGTATGAATCACTGCCTTCAAAACAGGAAAGATAAGGGGGAAGTGAAAACATCTCTCTTCCCAAACAAGTGCTGCGTTTGGCCTGTAACCACTCAACAGGAATTGGTCAAAGCAGGTGAAAGGACTACAAACTGCTATTGTCTAACATGAAGAGAAGGAGAAGGAGAGAGGGAAACAAAGGCAGGAAGAAAGCAAGTACTTCACAAATGCACTACAGGAAACACGATGCTGAATACATATCTCACTTCTCTTTGTGATATTAACCAAAGGCATCAGTTTCTCAAGCTGGACATTCACATCTTATGTTTACAAAGAAGCTCACTGTTTATGTGTTTCAACAAGTCAACAATCTGACCTTCTCGGATATGTACAGTGACATGGCGTCATTTGGATCAGATAGCACAGGGGCTTAAATGTCAGGATTCCAATCCCAATCCCTCTACTATCCACCACAGTAGTGGTGACTCTGGCTACAAGTGTTTTTCCAGTGAGAAACTACCACACAGGACTGTGCGCTGAGACTGAAAACTCAATTTTCAGTTACCTGCATAGCTGCAAGCACCTCTGGGTCACCAAGTAGATCATTCAGACCAGGCATTCCTGCCATCCCAGGCATTCCTCCTGGAAAACCACCAGCACCTCCTGAAGATCAGAAGATTACAAAATAATTAACAATGATGCTGAATTCAAGGACAAGGTGACTAAAAAGTAGCACAGAAACAATGATCTCTTCCCATGATTGATGGAACTGACCTCCAATTGAACAGTTATATATAGAAGGCTGTTATTTGTACAAATGCCAGCTAGAGTGAATACGTGCCAAGAAAAAGCTGACCTCACTGGCAAGTGACAGAAAGCAGCAGTCAGCTTCAAAGACAGGAAGAAACAGAGTGTCTCCAGAAACACTTTCAGGCTTTAACAATTGTTTTATAAAAATAAAAAGGCTATTGCACTTCAATCTTACACTCAAAACGATAACTTGCTGTCTCACCACAGATGCTGCCTGACCTGCTGCGATTTACAGCATTGCTGTCTGTATAAAAACTTAATCTAGAATGTCAGAAATATCTCTAAACAACAAGCGTATTGGGTTTCTAAATTATCCTGGGCTCAAATTCTACACTCAGTGTCATGGAGCAAGGAAATATACCCTTTGGTCCAATACATCCTGCTGACCAAGTTTCCCAAACTAAAATAGTCCCACATGCCTCTGTTTGGCCCATATCACACTAAAGCTTTCCTATTCATGTACCTATCAAAATGTCTTTTGTTGTAACTGTATTTGTATCTACTACTTCTTCTGGCAGTTCATTCCACACACAAACCACCCTCTGTGTGAAAAACTTGCCCCTCAGTTCCCTTTTAAATCTTTCTCCTTTCACCTTAAAAATACACACTCTAGTTTTGAAATTCCCCATCCTAGGGAAAAGACCTTTGCTATTCACTTTATCTATGCCCCTCATGATTTTATAAACCTCCATAAAGTCACCCCACAACTTCCTATGCTCCAGTGAAAGTCACAGCCTATCCAGCCTCTCTTTATAACATAAACCCTCCAGTACTCCAAAAGTGGCCTCACCTATGTCTGTACAACCTCAACATGATGTCCCAATTCATACTCAATGGTCTGAGCAATGAAGGCAAGTGTGCTAAACACCTTAACCAACCGGTCTACCTGTGATGCAACTTTCAAAGAACTATTTACCTGAACCCCTAAGTCTCTGTTTGACAACACTACCCAATGCCCCACCACTAACTGTAAGTCCTGCTCTTGTTCATTTTACGAAATGCACTCATACCACAGAAGGTGCAGATGTGGGAAATAACCAGTTTATGGTAGTTTCCCAATCTTCAGTGGGATAGCAATGGCCACTCACTTTTGGTCTAGCAAGGTTGGGCACTGAATCTGACTGACTCCTGCTGGAGAGGGCATGTGTGACGACGTTTGGGCAAGAATAGGAGCAGAGTTGGTTGTGACGCCCTCGGTTATTGAATAGCACACTGACATTTATTGTCTGGGACAGCATGAAAAACAGCCACTTCTGGAGAATAATCGGAATGTTGCTTGCCTCCTTGAAACCATAGCCTAGCAAGAATCGATGTAATGGATTACTTTGATGCAAAAAGAGTGAAGTGTTCACATTACTAGCAGTATTGAAGAACCCAGAGCTTGGCTTGAGGAGGCTGCCAGTTTGCGATCAACTGGGAATAGCAAGGCAAATAAAAGGGCCGCTTGGAACACGTACTAGTGCATTTCTTCAAGGGCAACAGCATGAACACTTTCATGGCGGGTCACGAACTCAAACTGGTGCTAACTCCATTAAAAAAAACTAAACTAGAAAGGAGGCTAAATGGGAAGAAAGCATAACAATTACCATGCAGCAACCACTGGCTATAGGGAGCATCTCATCACCTAAGAAACATTGAGAAACATATCAGAAATGCAAAATATTTCATTGCAAATCTTGGCACCTCCATTTCGATGAATGATTTTGTTTTACTCAAAACCGTTCAGGTCAGATCTAATTTAGTAAAGCTGTTGGAAGGATTTGCCCTGTGTAGCACAGTGTCCCTGGTCAGGTGTTGCATTCCTCGCAGCTGCCTTAAAACAGCAGTCACCACTAAGTTGAGATGTTCATCCTTTGTTGGCCAACTGGGGAGTACAAAGGAATACAGAAAAACAAACCTGGGAAACCACTGAATCCAGCTGCCCCTGGACGGCGAGCCTCTTCCTCCTGAAATAAGAGAAGAGATGTTTCTGGACCACAAATAGGCTACAAATCAAGAAATTAAACATTTATTTGAATACAGAGGCTGTTGCGACTGCTAAACATGGATATACCTGATCATTGATATCCCCTTTGGAGTCCAGTCTCTATGTAGAACCTCTGGTCTCAATTATTTTATTGGGTACAAGTGTTTGCAGCCAGTTTTCAGACTGTAAAATGTCAGCCACAAATCAGAGTCTCCTTAAAATCACAAAGAGAATCTCCAGGGTCTGATCAACATTACCAGTACAGCACATCCCATGAACAAAACACAACAAACTTCAGTTCCTAATTGCCAGGCACTCAGTTCCTGCAGATTACTGAGTTATCATTGAAGGTTTGTTTATAAATTCCAGTCTACCATAGGTACTTCCTCAGGTTATCCAATATTAGTCACTCTTTAAAGACTGGAATCTCTGATTTTATTTTCACTGATCTACATCTAATATTGCAGTAACATAATCAATAACAGCATCTGCTTATAACCTGAACCGAATACTTAGCATCTTTCACATATTTACCTCAGTTTCTCAAAAAAAGGAAGATCAAACTAACAATAGAGGTGGCAAAGTTTATCTCAAATCATAAACTGCTTTACTTCATGAGATGAAGAATACAGATCATTAGGTATGATCACAGTTATCAACCAGTTGCATGTATTGATATAAAAATACACTATTCCACCTTGGTGAGAGTCACCTTTCTCAAGAAAGAAAACCCACCCACCTTCTATCCTACATTCCTGGGCAAAACCTCTAACTTTTGCTGCACTGCTTGCTCATCTTGCAGTTTTGAAATTACACCGCCATTTCTTTTTAGTCAAAAATTGGGGCTACATCACTTCCTACAAGAGAATCCAACATCCTAACTCAGTAATGACTCCTGCTCTGCTCACGATTAAGATTGCCTCTGCAGCAAAAGGGTGAAGTCAGTAGAATGTCTAAATGATGGTTCATTGTCAATAGCATGCTGGGTCAAACTGACTGTCCAAAATGTAACACATCTGCCAGCCCAGATGTCCTATTGTAACAAGCATTGACAGCATATTTTATAATCTTAATTTTGCATGGAAAGAATAGATTATCAAAATAAACCCAGAAGCAAGATTCAGGAAAAACAGACAAAGGCACGACAACAGAAGCCACCAGTTGATTTGAACTTCAGCCCACTAGCTCAATCTCATCACCAAAAGCTCAAAACGGGTCAGTTCATTTTGAAGATTCATTTCGGTGTTTAAACCGACCTACTTCGTTGCTTTGGGCTTTTTATTTCACACCATTTTGAAGTTTCCGTAATTTAAATGCTGATATCTGCTCCCTGTTGCCAATCCTCTTGAGATACTATCAAATACAAATTTACTAACCAGACTGTAATTGAATTTAGCGACCAATTAGGACTTTAGCATCAAAGCAACAATAAAATTGAAGACTGGAATAATTGAGCCTGCCCAGCAAGTAATACAGTGGCAAATGAGTCACTATAAACAGGTCTTCCAGACAGGCACAAGTGTGGCAGAATTTTACTGATCAGGTGTCTCTCGAGTTGTGTTAGTATTTGGCTTCAAGCCACACGTACAATCCCACTCAGGATGCGAGCACGAAATCTAGGCTGACAATTCATTGTAGTACTTTGAGAAGAAGACACCGTATTGCTTGCTAATATATACATAAAAGATTCCATTGCTACATTTGAAGAGCCAGGATTTTATTTTAGTGCCATAGCCAGTATTCAATTCTCATCCACAACAAATAAACAAGTCAATTGTGTCATGTGCCATGGATCCTATTGTGTATAAATTGGCTACACTTGAAAAGAAAAATTTATTCACTGTTAAGTTCTTTGGGATATACTTTACACAATGAGAAGCTTTACACAATCTTGACCTCTTTGGTGAAGACTTGTCTGAAAAGAATATCACTGTGCTATAAAGCAACAAGAAATTTCCAGGTTTCACTTGTGACTAATGACAAGTCAGTGAGTTCAGACAGATGTTGATTTCTGAACTCTGGGGTTGAGTTTGAAATGCCTCAACTCTTTTTTGGCAGTCTTCATTTCAAACCCTTCTCAAAAAATTGCTTACTTTGGTAAACAATTTAGTTACCTCTGCTGATAATTTTGTGAAGAGCTATATGTCCACTATTCCGTCTTCGAATTTGGGACTTTTAGCATTATTAAAAATCCTGGGTAAGTTGGGTTTTGCTCTTTCTGGTTGAATAATTTTCTGTAATTGCAAATGCTTGGTAATAAGAGTGTTTATGGTGGTGCAATCTGAAGTTTCAAAGTAGCTCTTTCTTTTGAGTTACAAATTGATTTTTTAAAGTTTGGAATTGTGAAACAACAAAAATAACTGTTGTAAATCTTCTTTTCTCACGTAGTGCTTTATTTAAATCGGAGTGTCAAGGAAATTTTCTACAGTTAGATCTAGCTTGTAAGGATGCACCAACATAGTCAAAGGTTCTACTCAAGTGTAATGCAATTCACACATTCTCCATTTAAACTATGAAAATGATCTAACAGTAAATATAGATTGATCTTTCAAATCTGTAGCAACCAGACAGCAGTTTCAATTACAAAACAAGAAGCTCAGGTGTAAGTCAGAAGCAGCATACTGGTACCATCACACTAAAATTATTGACAATCCTGATTGTACATGTACTGAGATTCAGATGGCTTTGCAAACTTAACTGGGTTTTTTGGGACTTGTATAGTTGTAAGCCAGGATAGGAGAATCAGGACAGCAGATACATGGGAACACCACCATCTGCAAATTGTCCAAGGACGTATACCATCCTGACTTGGAAACATTCCTTCCTGGGTCAAAATCTTGGAGCTCTCTCCCGAAATATTTTGCAGGTCAGTCCACAAAGGGACTTCAGCAGTTCAAGAAGCAGCTTACCATTACCTTCTCAAGGGTACCTACGAATGAGGTAATAAATGCTAGCTCAGCCAGTAATGCTTACATCCCATGACTGAACAAAAAAAAAGATTAACCATGATTGTTGCAACTCTCAAGTAAAATAAGAAAAACATAAAGAAGAAGATAGTTATAGTGTTTCAGGTTTTGCCTTAACAGGTAAGATGAAAGTATGTAGGAAGAGGATGCTATGGACCAGTTGGGCCAAGGGAACTATTTCTGCACTTGACTCTATATAAAAGTTAGAGATACTATGCACAGGTTTTATTCATTGATTCTTGTCAAGAAGTGCATGCACAGGCATTGAAGTCAGTTGTACAGACCCTCACAAGTTAAAAGACTATTAACGTTCTCTGACCAGAATCTCTCTGAAATTAATATTTGCCTGTGGAGTTGAAAGCAGCCAGAGGATCCATGTACTCTTAAGCAGAAATATGTACCATCAGGAGAAAAAAAAAGGGAGAATTTGGAGTAAAGAAAATGTGAATGTGATTTTCAGCATCATACCACTTACCTTACGTGCTTTTTCATGTTCCTCCTTTGCTTTTTTTGCACGCTCTATTCGCTCTCGCATAGCCTTCTCTTCACGCTTCCTTTCGTATTTTCTTCTGTGTTCTATAATCTTTTGAGCCTATGGAGATTTAGTCAAAATATAATATAATAGATTCTTTAATAAATAGACCTGTTCATCACCCTACAACCCACTCCAAGCTAAACTCCACTAGGGCAGTCAGATCCTCTGCATATCTATTACAAGCTATGGCTTTTTTGGAAACTTATGTCCATGCCCACCATGATCCTGTCATGAATGAAAATTAACTACATTTAATGGTTAATAGCTATGCATTACGAAGCAGTACGCAAGAGTTAATTAGAAATCCTTAATTAAATCTATGTTCACACAAATATTAAAGAAGACACTTCCCCTGATGAACTTTCTAAGAGCTAGGAACAGGAGTAGGCATTTCAGCCCCTCGAACATGCTCTGCCATTTAATACAATACTGGCTGATCTCATCTCAGTCTCAAACTCACTTTCCTACCCGCTCCCCATAACCGTGTAACCCATTACTGATTAAAATTTTGCCAAACTCCTCCTTGAATTTATTCAGTCTCTTGGCACCCACAGCACACTGGGATGAATCCTCTGAGAGAAGTCATTTCTCATGTGTTTACATTCTGCCACCTGTCAGCCCAAAACTATGACCTCTCATTCTAGATTACCCCACAAGGGGAAACAACCACTGTACATTTACTTTGTCAATCTCTTTTAGCATCTTGTATACCTCAATTACGTTGCTTCTCATCCTTCTAAAATCTAGCATGTACAGGTCTAAACTGCTCAACCGCTCCTCCTAAAACAAGCCTTTCATCTCAAATTAATCTAGTGAACCTTCTCTAATCTGCTTCTAATGCAATTACATTGCTCAAGGAAGGGGACCAAAACTGTACACAGTATTCCTGATGTGGTTTCACCAATGCCTTGTGCAACTGCCACAACACTTCCCTACTTTCATACTCCAGGTCATTTGACAATAAGTGCAAACATTAAATTATCCCTAAATAAAAACCAAAAGAACTGTGGATGCTGGAAAAGCTCAGCAGGTCTGGCAGCCTCTGTGGAGACAGAAACAGGTCCAGTGATCCTTCCTCCAAACTTCCCGAAATGTTAACTCTGATTTCTCTCCACAGAGGCTGCCAGACCTGCTGAGCTTTTCCAGCCCCCATTCAAACTAATTCAGAGGTTTGCTACAGTATCAGGTTACAACCTCTTCAATTTGCGGTTACACCCCACTTGAAAGTGCACTCATGCATAACGCACTATGTAAACAACCCCATTTAAACAAGACCGACATTCCATTCAAAGGTGCAGTCAGGTGTGACGGCTAACAAAACTGCACAGGATGGAACCTTTTTGCACCCCAACACCAAAAACTGTTATTTGATATTTAAATCCAACTGAGTAGCTGCTATTACCAAATCATTTACCTTCTCCCTCCAGCTAGAGTAACTCCAAGTATCAATCAAAGGTGATAACTGGATTGCCCTGCAGACTTTTCTTGTATATTATGTAGCCAGGTATTTGTCCCAAGTTTTTATTCAACATGTATATAAAACTTTACCCCACTAATAAAACTAAAAAACGCTATGCAGTGTATGTAAGCAACCTTTAACTTACTAATAAAACTAACGGCACTATATCCAGACCCATGCGACCCCGAATGAATGAATGTTAGTAAATAGAACCCACAGATGGACACAACCATAAAACTAACTAAACAAGCGATAGTAAATAAAAACCACAGATAATCAACGCAGACTTTTATTTATAAAACACAAGATGCCTTTTTCTAACTTTAAAATTCTAACCTTGAAAATAACAAGACTAACACCTTTTGAACTACGCAAGGGCACTCTAATCTCATTAAAATAACCATTAACACTCAACAATAACTGGTAACATCTCCAATTTCCTGCAAAACAGTTTTTGTACAATGTCTACTGCTTAACACTCAAGTGTTAGACTGTTAATGTATGCTTGAATTCTGTATAAAATGGCTGCTTTTGAGCAATGATTTTGGGGATTCTATTTCGCCTTACACCTGGTCGTCTGGATCTTTGAACGCGATCTCACAATGAGTATACCCAGATCCCTCTGGACCAAAGCAATTTGAGGTTTCTCACCATTTAAATAATTAGTTGCCTTTATATTTTCAGCCAAAACGGATAGCCTCACACTTAATAAAAACCAAAAGATCATTCTGAGGAAGGTACACTGGACCCGAAACGTTAACTGTTTTCTCCTCCACAGATGTTGCCAGACCTGCTGAGCTTTTCCAGCAACTTTGTTTTTGTTAGCCTCCACTTATCCATGTTAAACTCCATCAGCAAAATTTTATCCAATTCACTTAAATTTATTTACTTATTCATTAGTAAATTTCTTATTTCTTGATTGCAACTTACTTCCCCACCAATTTTCATGTCCTCTGCAAATCTCACTATCATACCTTCCAGCCCTGCATCCAAACTATCAATAAAAGTTTAAGTAATTATATATAATTTATACACCATAAAGGCAGAGAACAGCAGGAAGGGAGATATAAATAAGCAAAGGTGATCAAAGTATGTAACTGTTTGGCATATGTCAACTGATGCTACTTTTTTTTGTTATCCAGAAGAAATAAGTCTTGGGGCAAGTTTGATTTGGAGTTACGTCATACATCAGCCATGAACTCTCAATGGCAGAAAAGGTTTAACAACTAAATGGCAAACTCCCATCCCTTTATTCTTCCCAACAAAGGCAAGCAGAATGAGATGTTTGTAGAATGACCACTTTTTCTTTTAGCTAATGTTGTTGGGCTAGAAGAAACAGGAAGAGAGAGAGTTAGGCCACTTTGCTCATGATTCAAACTACATTTTTAAAATTGCACCATGCTGTAACCATTCAACTCGCTCTCCGATAGCAGCTGTACTCTTGGTCCATCAGCATTTGTAATTACAAATTTCATTCTCCACCTGCTAGTTTCAGATACTGCACCGAACATTTCTTTCTCCCAACTTCTTTTACAAGTAACTGCAGCATACAGTGCCAGAAAGAGTTCACATAAGCTCAAAGTAACAGTTTTACATTCTTACTTCTTGCAAGATTAAGTCTTTAAAGCTGTACTTCCACAAGTCAGAACACAGCTATGGCTTCCACTCCTAATTATAATCCAGAAACTTAGCTGTGTCTCTGCATAGCACCCTTGCCCATCTTCCCTCTCTGATGCGCAAATTATTTTAAAGAACAACATGGGAGTATTCCCTGGTGTTCTAACAAATATATATCAGTTCCCAATTGATCCCTCAACAAACATCAAAAAGAGATTATCATAAGTAAATTGCTGTTTGTGGGAGTTTGCCAAGTGCAAATTGCCTGCTGTATATTTTACATTGGTTAGAGCGGATTACCATAAAAGTCCAAGTGATTCATAGATGCCATTTAGGCAGAAAACAACTTGACCTTACCCATTCTGGCCCTTATACAACTCCAGTCCCATACCAAAAGTAGTTTACTTTTAATTGAGCCCCTGAAGCAAATGTAACATTATCAAGATGTCTAGGAATGGCCATTATATCTTGGTCTTGTTACATTTCAACAGTACAGACTAAAAGTAGCTGGAGCTTTTGAAAAAGTCAGTGACAGTACTTCAATGACTATAAAAACTATCCCCAACATCTGAGAGATTCCATATCAAATTTTGTTTAATGCCTTAGGATATTATTGCTACATTAAAGGCCCTATATAACTGCAGATTATTGTTGAATAGGTTTGTTTTTAAGCAGGGCACATTTGAAGTATTCCATCTTTTCCCAGCTGTCTGTGCATGTTTAAAGTAACTAGCTGATAGACTACTTTGGGTACAGTCAGATTCTAAACTTAAACAGCTCCAATTATTTCTTTGTAAACCCAATCTTGGAATGCAATAAACCCAATATTTATTAGCCTTACGTAAATGTCTCGATTTGATATTCCAGTTAAGTGTCAACCATTTTGACGCAGGAGCAAACTCTAAGGGCCAGAATGGTTCAGAACATAATGGGAGGTGGGGACTAAGTGCTAATGTTACTGGACTAGTAACACAGAGTCCCAGGCTAATGTTCTGGGGATATAGGTTTGAATCTCATCAGATGAAGTCTGAATTCAACAAAAAAAATCTGAAATAATAATTTAGCCTCATGGCTCCCATGGTAACTACTGCTGGTTGTCACATAAACTCATCTGACTTACTAATGAACTTTAGGGAAGGAAAGTGACCATCTGTAACCAGTCTGGCCTACATGTTACCTCAGACCTACAGCAATGTGGTTTACTCTTAACTGCCCTCTAGGCAGTTAGGGATTGGCAATAAATGCTGGCCTAGCCATCAATACCCACTTCTCATGAAAAGAACAAAATATAATTTTGGCCACTAAAAATCCCCCACTGCACATTTTCAGCATGAATTGCTTTTATTTCATATTACAATAATATGCAAAATAACAACTTTCACTTACACCAAGTATTCTATGGTGCTTCACAGGAGCACTAGAAAAGTTTGATACTGAGCCACTAAAGAGGAATTACGGAACTCGGTAAGGAAAACTTTGGTCAATTGGGCAGGCTTTAAGGATTGTCTGAACAGGAAGGAGAGAAGTTGGTGGAGGAGTTTAGGGAGGGAATTCAGAGGTTGTGGCCTCAGCAGCTGATAGCATTGTTACCAATGATGTTGATTAATAATAGAGATATTCAAGGAGCCAGATGTGAAAGAGGGCAAAGATCACTAAGTTATAGAACTGGAGATATTTATATTGGTAGGGAATGAAGTAGCCAAGGAGGGATTTGAAACTGGAATAAGATTTTTGAAAGCACTTCCATACAATGATTTTTTTTACACAAAAGCTAATGTGAAGACTGCACAAATTCTCAACTTTTCTCCTACCTAAGTTGGGCCAGAGAAACCACTTCCACCAGCAAATCCTTGCTTGGCCACATGCCCAACATAAATACAATATGCTCACAAAACTGAATGCATTACAAAGTAACTCAGATACAAAACACTTTTGGAGTTCTAAAGAACTTAAAGGTGCTTTAGAAATACAAGTCTTCTTGACCATTAATTATAAGTTTACTTTGCCATTTATTCTCCAACCCACAAAATTTTAAGCAAAAATGTGACCAGAATGTGGTCACTTACCCGAGGTTGCACCTCCTTAAGCGTGGAGCTGGTATCATCATCGTAATCCAATTTACAGGCTGTGGCCAGATCCCGTGCTGCCTCCTCCCAGTGTCCAAGCAATCTATTTGATGGAGTAATTATAAAACAGCAAGGTTTACAACTGGAAGCTTCAAATCCACAGCCTGAGTCAGTTTTTCAACAACTATCAATAGTTACTAGAATGGACATGGTCACAGGCTGCCAACAGGACAAACATTATTAATGAGAAGCAAAGTGTACCTGCGCATTCATACCCTCATTTCATCATGAAACCTTACATTATTACTTAAAATCTGCTAGTGTCACAGAATGAAAAAACAAGTGAACAAGTTCTCAGCTTCCTTTGTTAAATGCATATAGGGACAGGTGAAATAACTCATAACTAACAAACAAATTCCATGACTTTGAATGTTTCTCATCCTCAGCAGTCCCTCATGATCAAGAAAGACTAGCTGCCACTCTGGTTCTGCTAAGTCCAAAGAGAGTTTAACCAACCAATGACTGAACTATACAAGCCAAGAGGGTTCCAGATCAGAGTCCTAGTGCACGATAAGCTTAGCTGATCTCAGCCAGGGTTAAGTGACTTCAGCCTCCCTCGGTTAAAAGGGGGAGAAACAACCAGCTCCTAAGAACTAGCCAATGATTCTTAGTTGATGTGACCACCTGCAAATGCAGAGTAAGGACAGGATTGAGCATGTTCAAATATAATAGCCCACTGACATTCAACCAAGACTTATGCACGTGATGCCCATGTGGCTGCATCCTAGTAAAGAGTTTGCCAAAAAGAATGCAAAGTAGAGCTAGGGAAATAAATGCAGCTACAGTTATATACTTCATTCTCAGAATAAAAGCAACTCAACAATTGAAACCTGACAGGAAAAGCTGCCATTAAAAAAAATCAAAGATCAATTTGGTCATACCAGGAAAATCAATAATCACTTCAGCATCAGTAAAAAGTCAGTTCTCTCAGACAGATGATCAGCCTGTTGTCTGGGATTTGACTGACTACCTTGGTTAAGTGGAGTTAACACCCCCCTCACCAACCCCACTCAAGGTTCAAATAGAAAGTCATGATACAGAGTTGAATGATACAGACACCAGCTGCATTCAACATGACTGGGTGACCTTCAGGAATATAACGTTCTCCACAGTTCTGGAGATCTTGGCTCTTAGTCTCTCCTAAGCACAATAATTGGTTCAACAAAAACACTAAAGCCACTAAGAAACGACTGAAGAAGAAACATCATCTCTGCAGGGTTTACCTCGATGGCAAACCATCACTATCCAAGCACAATCATTATCAAAACATTTAAAAAGGACTGAGACAAAAGATGTCTAATTTATTCATATTAGTAACATATGAACAAGAGTAGGCAGTAGCTCCTGGAGCCTGCACTGTCAATCAGTGAGATCATGGCTGATCTGTGGCCTAATTCCATATACTTGGTATTTGGCTCATATCTCTTCATTTCATTGCTTAACAAAAACATGTCTATCTCAGCCTTAAGATTAACTGATCTAGCATCAACTGCCGTTTGTGGAACAGCATTCCAAACCTTCACTACTGTGTGTGTAGAAATGTTTCCTAACATCAATCCAGAATAGTCTTCCCTAATTCTCAGACTATATCCCCTAGTTCTAGAATCCCCAATCAGTGGAAATGATCTGTCTTTATCTACCATTTCTTTTCCTATTAATATCTTGAAGACTTCGATCAGATCACCCCTTAACTTTCTATAAACTAGAGAAAACAGGCTTAATCTGTATAATGACTCCTCAAGTTAACCCCTGAAATCCAGGAATCATTTTTGTAAACCTATGCTGTATTCTCTTCCAACGCCAAAACATCCTTCTGAAGGTGTGGAACCCAAATTCGCTCTCAGTATTCCAGTTGGAATCTAACCAGGGTTTTGTATAGTTGCAGCACAACTTCTGCGTCCTTATATTCCAGTCTTCTCGATATGAAAGCCTGCATTCCATTAGCCTTAATTATTTTCTTTACCTGTTCATACCAGTTTAAAGATTGTACACCTGAACTCCCAAGTCTGTTTGGACATTCCATCTAGAAAGTACTCTGATCTATCCTTTTTACAGTCCAAAACGTATAATCACACTTGCTTCCATTGAAATCCACCTGTCAGTTTTGTCCATAGATTTAGTCTACCAATATCTCTTGGTAATTTTGTGCTATCTACATGTCTACAATGCAGTCGAACTTTGTGTCATCAGAGAATTTGGATTTTAAACTAGTCAACGTTGATCTATTTTTGTGAAGGGGTTTAAAACTTAACTAAATCAGTCTTCCCTGAATCATGATTATAAATCAGTACATGTCAGAGAGCAGATAACTAATGTCTCCTGAATTGTTCATGGAAATTTGTTTCCATTGTGGGGGTGCTGAGTGAGAGCAAGAGCAACAGCAAGAGACAAAATACTGAAAGACATTAGCTTGTTTTGGGATTTAGAATAATCAAGGATTGATTTTAGCTTTTAGAAAGCTTTCAGGTCATTTGAAAGAAACCTGACAAATTAGATGCAAATTTGGCTCTTCTAGGCGGAGAGAATTTATTCAGACCAGTAAAAGAAATAAGTTAACTTAGTGAAAGGATATATTCTATGAAACTTCCAGTTCAGGACAGGCTTATCAGAACTCTGCTAATTACCAAAAGACTGACAAGTTTGAGCTATCAATTGGGTGAGTGGTCAAGGGAAAAGGCCTCTCAGCTCACAGGACCAGAATGACAAGCAGTTAGATCAAATGCAGATTTGATCAAGAAAGAAAATTTCTCTGGATTTTGATTAACTGTGAAGTGATGGAGTTGGGAAATAGATGGGATTTTGTCTTATATAACAAGGTGTAGAGCTGGATGAACACAGCAGGCCAAGCAGCATCAGAGGAGCAGGAAAGCTGACGTTTCGGATCTGGACCCTTCTTCAGAAATGGGGGAGGGGAAGCGGATTCTGAAATAAAGAGAGAGAGAGGGGGAGGCGGATGGAAAATGGATAAAGGAGCAGATAGGTGGAGAGGAGACAGACAGGTCAAAGAGGCAGGGGTGGAGCCAGGAAAGGTGAGCGTAGGTGGGGAGGTAGGGAGGACAGACAGGTCAGGGAGGCGGGATGAGACTGGTAGGTAGGAGATGGGGGTGGGGCTTGAGGTGGGAGGAGTGGAAAGGTGGGAGAAAGGACGGACAGACAGGTTAGGGAGGAGGGGACAAGCTGGGCTGGTGTTGGGATGTGCTCGGGGGAGGGGAGTTTTTGAAGCTTATGAAGTCCACATTGATACCATTGGGTTCCAGGGTTCCCAAGCGAAATATGAGGTGCTGTTCCTGCAACCTTCGGGTGACGTCGTTGTGGCACTAGAGGAGGCCCAGGATGGACATGTCATCCAAGGAGTGGGAGGGGGAGTTGAAATGGTTCGCAACTGGGAGGTGTAGTTGTTTGTCACGAACCGAGCGTAGGTGTTCCACAAAGCGGTCTCCAAGCCTCCGCTTGGTTTCCCCGATGTACAGGAGGCCACATCGGGAACAGCAGATACAGTATACCACATTAGCAGATGTGCAGGTGAACATCTGCTTAATGTGGAAGGTCTTCTTGGGGCCTGGTGTAGCACTTCCTGTGGGTGCAGGGAAAAGTGCCGGGGGCGGTGGGGCTGGTGGGGAGTGTGGACCGGACAGGGGAGTCACGGAGAGAGTGGTCCCTCTGGAAGGCAGAGGGAAAATGTCTTTGGTAGTGGGGTCAGATTGCTGATGGCGGAAGTGTCGGAGGATGATGCGTTGGATCCGGAGGTTGGTGGGGTGGTACGTGAGGATGAGGGGGATTCTGTTTTGGTTGTTGTTGTGGGGAGGGGTTGAGAGGGATGAGTTGTGGGAAATGCAAGAGACACGGTCAAAGGCGTTTTCGACCACTGTGGAGGGGAAGTTGCAGTCCTTGAAAAACGAGGACGTCCGGGAGTGGAATGCCTCATCTCAGGAGCGGAATCCCTCACCTCAGGAGCAGATGCGGTGGAGGCGAAGGAATTGGGAATAGGGGATGGCATTTTTGCAGGAAGGTGGGTGAGAGGAGGTATATTCTAGGTAGCTGTGGGAGTCGGTAGGCTTGAAATGGATATCGGTTTCTAGGTGGTTGCCAGAGATGGAAACAGAGATCCAGGAAGGAGAGAGAGGTTTCAGAGATGGTCCAGGTGAACTTAAGGTTGGGGTGGAAGGTGTTGGTGAAGTGGATGAACTGTTCGAGCTCCTCGTGGGAGCACGAGGCGGCGCCAATACAGTCATCGATGTAACAGAGGAAGAGGTGGAGGATAGGTTCACGATTAAAGTAAGCAAGGAGGCAGCGGAAAAACTGTTCAACGTTCAAGCGTAACTGGTATTCATTGAGGTTTGGGTGGAGGGGGACAAAGGTGAGTCCTTTACTGAGGACTGACCGTTCATCCTAAGGGGGAAGTCTGGGGGGGTATGGTGAAGACCCGGCAGGGCTGGGTGCTGCTGTCTCCTCTAGAGCTGCTGGCTGTGGGCGGAGCGACATCGGTGCCAGCGGTGGGCGGCCTCCACCCTAACATCAACGAATACCGGTCAGGTTGGACGTTGAACAGTTTTTCCGCCACCTCTGCCTGCGCTTCCTTCTTTAATTGTGAGCCTAACCCTCCCCCTACTGACCCTTTCTCTCGCCTCCAACACACACCCTCCTCCTGGACACCATCCCAAGGTCTCCTACCCTCCCTCAACCTCTTCATCTCTAACTGCCGTCGAGACATTGATCGCCTCAACCTCTCCACCCTCTTACCCACTCCAACCTCTCCCCCGCAGAACGTACAGCCCTCTGCTCCCTCCGCTCCAATCCCAACCTCACCATAAAACCCGGGGACAAGGGAGGCGCCGTTGTAGTATGGCGCACTGACCTCTACATCGCCGAGGCCAGACACCAGCTCTCTGACACCTCCTCCTATCGTGCCCTCGATCATGACCCCACCCCCGACCACCAAACCATCATCTCCAAAACCATCGACAACCTCATCACTTCAGGTGACCTCCCACCCACAGCCTCCAACCTCATCGTTCCCCAACCCCGCACCGCCCGTTTCTATCTCCTTCCCAAAATTCACAAACCCAACTGCCCTGGTCGACCCATTGTCTCCGCCTGCTCCTGCCCCACCGAACTTATCTCCATCTTCTCCCCCTTGGTCCAGGAACTCCCTACATATGTCCGTGGCACCACCCATGCCCTCCACCTCCTCCAAAACTTCCGAATCCCTAGTCCCCAACACCTCATCTTTACCATGGACGTCCGGTCCCTATACACTTGCATTCCCCATGCAGATGGCCTAAAGGTCCTCCGCTTCTTCCTGTCCCGCAGGCCCGACCAGTCCCCCTCCACTGACACCCTTATCCGCTTAGCTGAACTCGTCCTCACCCTTAACAACTTCTCCTTCAATTCCTCCCACTTCCTACAGACAAAGGGGGTGGCCACGGGTACCTACATGGGCCCAAGCTATGCCTGCCTCTTTGTAGGATACATGGAACAATCCCTCTTCCGAAGCTACACTGAACCTATCCCCCACCTCTTCCTCCGTTACATTGATGGCTGTATCCGCGCCGCCTCGTGCTCCCACGAGGAGCTCGAACAGTTCATCCGCTTCACTAACACCTTCCACCCCAACCTTAAGTTCACCTGGACCAGCTCCGATGCCTCTCTCTCCTTCCTGGGCCTCTGTTTCCATCTCTGGCAACCACCTAGAAACCGATATCCATTTCAAGCCTACCAACTCCCACAGCTACCTAGAATATACCTCCTCTCACCCACCTTCCTGCAAAAATGCCATCCCTTATTCCTAATTCCTTCGCCTCCGCCGCATCTGCTCCCGAGATGAGGCATTCCACTCCCGGACATCCCAGATGTCCTCATTTTTCAAGGACCGCAACTTCCCCTCCACAGTGGTCGAAAACACCCTCGACCGTGTCTCTCGAATTTCCCGCAACTCATCCCTCACACTCCCTCCCCGCAACAACAACCAAAACATAATCCCCCTCATCCTCACGTACCACCCCACCAACCTCCGGATCCAACGCATCATCCTCCGGCACTTCCGCCATCAGCAATCTAACCCCACTACCAAAGACATTTTTCCCTCCCCACCCCATCTGCCTTCTGGAAGGACCACTCTCTCCGTGACTCCCCTGTCCGCTCCACACTCCCCACCAGCCCCATCACCCCCGGCATTTTTCCCTGCAACCACAGGAAGTGCTGCACCTGCCCCTACACCTCCCCCCTCACCCCCATCTCAGGCCCTAAGAAGACCTTCCACATCAAACAGATGTTCACCTGCACATCTGCTAATGTGGTATACTGTATCCGCTGTTCCCGTTGGTGCCTCCTCTACATCGGGGAAACCAAGCGGAGGCTTGGAGACCGCTTTGTGGAACACCTACGCTCGGTTCGTGACAAACGACTGCACCTCCCAGTCGCAAACCATTTCAACTCCCCCTCCCACTCCTTGGATGACATGTCCATCCTGGGTCTCCTCTAGTGCCACAACGTCGTCACCCGAAGGCTGCAGGAACAGCACCTCATATTCCGCTTGGGAACCCTGCAGCCCAATGGTATCAATGTGGACTTCACAAGCTTCAAAATCTCCCCTCCCCCGACCGCATCCCAACACCAGCCCAGCTTGTCCCTGCCTCCCTAACCTGTCCGTCCTTCCTCCCACCTATCCACTCCTCCCATCTCAAGCCTCACCCCCACCTCCTACCTACCAGCCTCATCCCGCCTCCCTGACCTGACCTATCCCCACCCCAACTCCCCACCTACATTCACTTTACTGGCTCCATCCCTGCCTCTTTGACCTGTCTGCCTCCTCTCCACCTATCTGCTCCTTTATCAATCTTCCATCCGCCTCCCCATCTCTCTCTATTTATTTCAGAATCCCTTTCCCCTCCCCCATTTCTGAAGAAGGGTCCAGACCCGAAACGTCAGCCTTCCTGCTCGGCCTGCTGTGTTCATCCAGCTCTACACCTTGTTATCTCAGATTCTCTAGCATTGGCAGTTCCTACTATTTCTGGGATTTTGTCTTGCTGTTTTTCAAAATCTTTTGAAGTGGATAGCTCAGTTTGTTTCATTTTAATTATATTTGTGGTATAAACTTGCTTTTGTTAAAACAAGGCGGGGGAAGATGATGGCCTGGTGGTATTATCACTGGACTGTTAATCCAGAGATCCAGATAACATTCTGGGGAGATGGGTTCAAATCCTGCCACTGCAAATGATGGTATTCGAATTCAATAAAAATATCTGGAATTAAGAATCTAATGATGACCATCAATCCATTGTTGATTATCAGAAAAACCCACCTAGTTCGCTAATGTCCTTTAGGGAAGGAAACTGCCATCCTTACCTGGTCTGGTCGACACGGGACTCCAGACCCACAGCAATGTGGTGGATCTGAACTGCCCTCTGGGCAATTAGGTGTGGGCAATAAATGCTGTCTAGCCAGTGACGCCTTCATCCCGTTAATGAATTTAAAAAAAAAACTGTAGTCCTGTGTGCCTTGGTTTCAGTGAAAGATCGCCATGATAAAAAGAAACAATATATAATGATCTTTCAAGCCAAATTTCATTCTGCAATCTGACTTGTCCAGTAGTAACACCAGCTGGGATCAAAGCAACTGTCCAGTGCAAACACAATATGAAAAGCACTTGACCAAATCAGAAGCAGGCAAACTTCTGGAACATCCAGACTACAAAGACTGGAAGAGATTCTAAGATGCTCTCACTCTACTAGTTTATCAGCAATCCTCACACTAAAAAGGTCAACACTGCTCACAGAAAGAGCCCAAATTCTCAAAATATAGGCAGAGTATTTCAAGCACATCCTCAAATCAGCCTACAGCTAATGATGAAACAATCAACAAACTGCCACACGTTGCTATCAACTGATCTCTCACGTGACACTTTCTCATTAGAAACAGCAAATGCAGTCAAACTCCTGTCTTGTGGCAAAGCGCCAGCAACTTTATACATTGACTGTGGCATAGTAACACTTGCTTAATTAGTAATTCAGAGGCCCAGGCTAATCAATGCACTGGGGACATAGGTTCAAATCTTGTCATGGCACCTAATAAAATTTCAATTCAATTCATAAAATCTAGATTTCATGCTGGCTTCAGTAATGGCAACCATGAAACTATCAATGATCTTTGTAAAAACCCATCTGGTTCACTAATGTCATGAGGGAAGGAAATAACAGCAGTGACTGATTCATAACTGCCCTCTGAAATGGCCCAGCAAGCTGCTCCACTCAAGGGCAATTATCAATGGGTAACAAAAACCAGTCTTGCTAGTTACGTCCACATCCAATGAGAAAGAGTAAAGAAAACAGCTCATGTTATCACAGCTGAGAAGTACATCGCTGGAGGTCAATGCCTGATCAAGAAGCTCACTTTCAGTCTGAGAACAAGGCAACCATCCTGCAAGATTACAGAAAGTGCCTGCTCAAACAGGTGGAAAGAAATTCTTGGGATAATTGTAATGAATTCTCACCCCTGCCCACTGTATACAGAATCCTTCCAAACCACCTAGTATGGCGTCTCAACTAGGATCAACTGTGAGAGAGACAATGTATTTTAGGAAAGGTTTGAGGTACCACCAATATGGTGTTTGCAATTGACAGCTCCAGCAGGAAAGCAAGAGCAGAACAGGTAGCCTTAGCCTTTTGTTGACTTGACTAAGATGATTGACATTGTCAGCTGAGAAGGGGATCAGCTTCCCACAGAAATCAATAAGAGATCCATGTTTTATATACCCTGGGTGATGGGGAGTCTTCTGACCAATTCCGAGCTAATAACGGAATTAAACAGAGCTGTATACTAGAACCAACTCTCATTATGTTTATTTCTCCACCACACTCTGACGCCTTCCATGATGTTGATCCTCACAACAAAATCACATATGGCATAGACAGGAATCTGCTCAACTTGAGACGACTCCATATAAAGACTAAAGCCTCCAAAGACAATTTTGCAATTTGTCAATGACCAGTGGACAGTTCAGAGCTGGACAGGCAATGTAGCATGGCTTCGTTTTCCAATGCATGCAACAACTTCGGCCGTACACCACAAAGAAAACTGAAGTAACATACTAGCCTCCAGGAAAGTCCCAGCTCAAGCTTGACGTTTCAGTCGTTATCAAAACCTGTCAGTAGTGGATAAGTTCACTTAACTCAGTAGTATATGATCTCATGTTGTCCCAATAAGACACTAAACCACTTTCACTGAAACTGCCTTTGGAAGCTGAAGATCAGATTGTAGTTCATTCAGGAGTTTCGATGTTGCCTAAGTCTGGGAAAAGCTCATGCATGAATGTTACACATGGAATAAACAAAAAAAATGGAGCAGCCTCCTCCAAAAGTAAACGCAGATGAAAGGTAGAAAAGTATGTATAGAGAGGAAGTCCTGAGCCAGCAACTCGTTTAAAACTCAATCTTGTCCTATTTGCAGCAGAACCTTAGCAGTCACCCACGTAACTGACTAGAACCCCACCAAACAACTCAAAGAGCTTCATCTTCGCACTCCCCCTCGCGCCCTTCCCGGCAGTTCAAACAAGAAGGAATTGCCAGTTTGTTGGCCTGGATTAGATATTAATCCAGGTCAGCAATCAGGAGGACTTGATGGTCTAACGTAAAGTGGGCACTGGATAACTCAGCTTAATATTCACTCACCAATATTCACTGCCTCATACATGGCTCCTGAATGTACATATGGGCCAAAAGCTGCACTTCTAACCATACTCCATACCCGAGTCATGCAGAACAAGGGAGGAAAATAGGATAAATTTTAAACTAATATTCTGGAAGGACGCTAGATAACATTTAATAGGGGGCTCCATTTGCACATGGAACATGAATACCTCTCAAAAGTACTTCTCAGCCGTAAAACACTTTAGATGCCTCCAGCACTCGTAACCCTTTTTGGTTGTTTCTAAACAAGCTCCTACCTTTAACAATTCATTGCCATAACACACCCTTCCCACCCTTACCTGTGTGCTTTTCCCCTCCACTTGTAAGGCTGTGCTGAGTCAGGATTGATGCTGATGGCTTTGTCACAGTCCCGAATAGCTGCATTAGGTTTCTGCATTTTCACATAGACACTGAAAACAGAAAAGCGTATTGCTTACTACATGACAAGAAAAAGGGTGAAACACAGGTAGCCTCATGCTTTCAAAAAGGCACGAACAGGATAATATTCAGTCTGAAACAGGAAATATTCTCTTATGCTGACTGTTCCACTAGAAATAAATATTTAGTATCACCCTAATGATCTGCTGGGGGGAAGACACAGGGACATATACTGATCACAAGGCCTCATGTCTAATGCCAAACCCATGTCAAACGAGGTAATCACAGGAAAGACTGCAGTAGAATGTTACAATGAGCCTGGGCCCCCAAACTACAAGGGAAAAAGGAAATAAATTCCAGATCCAGATTGCTATCTAGTGACATCTACTGGAAAGTGTCTTTTAGGTATCAGGTGAAAATAAGACTATGTCATAGTTTGGGCACAGCCTCCATCCAGTCGTCTGAGTGCGGGTTCACACAGTACCACTAAGTCAGTAGGAAACAGAAATTAGCTAGTACATCTAGAACCAGGGAACATAATCTCACAACAAGGATTTAGGACATTTAAGACTGAAATTAAAAAGAATCTTTTTTAACTCAGAAGATGGTAAATCTTTGGAATTCTCTACCCCAGAGGGTTGTGGAAGCTCAAACGTTGAGCAAACATGTTCAAAACAGAAATCAACTAATCAGCTGAAGAGCCTACACCTGTTCATTGATAGCATTAGAAAGTATTCACAGATTTTGAATTAGAGCTGTGGAACCCTCCAAATAAGGAGAACACACGGGTCAAGTCCCATCCAAGATCTTGTAAAGCGTTGGGGTAGCAAACACAGGTTAACCGTAAGTCAAACGTAAATGACCAAGTTATATGGTCAGTAAATATTTGTGGAACAACAGTGCTTGTATTCAAATCTATCCTAAGCTTGGTTATGGATAGAAGGGGTTTGGATAATACAGGGGAAAGAAGTACAATCATTCGTGGTGCCCATTATGTATCTAGTGGCCAGTTCAAAGTAAAACCAAAAGTATGGCTCAATTCAATTGCGGCTAGCGCAGAGACATATTCATTACCAAAAAGCAATGATAATAGGTGAGAAGCACATGGAAAGGTTATATCTGTTAGGACAGCTAATAGCCCAGTGAATAACTAGGTGGTGATGAAGTAGCTAAACATGGGAAAGTCACCATAGTCCCAGAGGACCACAGGCTCTCTTAGAGATGACTGATAGTGAGGTTAGCCGAAGGGTCATCATGCCTCACACAAGGGGTGGGAGCGAAGCTGAGAAGGCGGGGCCTTCACGATGACATCGAACAGTATGGGAACTGAACTGGGCTATTGGCATCATTCTGCATCAGGAACTGGCCACTCAGTTAACTGAAAATAACAAAGGCTCAGCGTACTAAAAGTTTTAATGTCAGTCTCTTTTCAGATGTCCTGATTCATTACTGTGTGCAAAGAATACTGGATAAGCTGGAGTGCATAGTCAGTACTTTTACTTTACATTTCAGATTCATTTGCTCAACACTTTCCCCAAAATCTAGTAATTAATTTATAATGGCCAATAACAGCACTTTTCCAACAGATTGGCATTAGGACGACATCACCAAAAGGTTTCCAAACTTACATCAGACAAGTGCCCAGGAACCCATCCCTTAAAAATAGGATCTCAAACATTTTTTCTCCCACTCCACTGTGCAGTGTTTAAGGGGACACTTCAAGGATGATACTTCTCAGCATTTTATTCTAGAAACACACAAAAGTATAAAAGGCAAAAAAAAGATGGAAAATCCTGTTTTACACAGACTGCCAATACAAAAGGACATTTTGTAATATACTGACAGAGACTGCCAATTGACAATGTTTCTTTATATTTGGTAAAGGAGCAAGAACTGAATGCCAGCAGGGAAGTGATGGCCTAGTGGTATTATTGCTGTATTATTAATCCAGAGACCCAGGTAATGCCCTGGGGACCCGGGTTCAAATCCCGCCATGGCAGATGGTAAAATTTGAATTCAATAAATATCTGGAAGTAAAAGTCTAATGATGACTGTGAATCCATTGTCGATTGTTGGAAAAAACCCATCTGGTTCACAAATGTCCATCCTTACCTGGTCTGGCCTACATGTTACTCCGGACCCACAGTAATGTGGTTGACTCTTAACTGTCCTCTGGGCTATTAGGGATGGGCAATAAATGCTGCCTGGCCAGTGACGCCCTCATCCCATGAATGAATTTTAAAAATCCAGAACAGAAAATTCAAGATTTGCACATCTCCTTTGGTCCCACAGTCAGCTTTCTTACAGAATTTACATGTTCCTTCTTAGTGTTTCAGACAGTGGACTGATTTTATAATTTCAACAACCCAGCGCTGCAGGACAGGGACTGTAATGCAATTGATTCTAATGTGCACCTCTAAAGACAGCACAAGGAAACATCATTTTTAATCTTTCCTATGGCTTGAGGTGATGCCTTATTGCAATTACTGCCCTGACTGATCTCTGCAGTTCCTCTATTCAAAAATTACTGGTGGAAGACTGTAAACATTGGCCCGTTTGCAAAGCCCCATTTCAGCATCCTTACCTGGCTCGTTTAGCATAAAGAACAGCCAGACGTGGATTCAACTTAATAGCCTCTGTAAAGTGGCCAATAGCTTTTTCCAAGTTTCCTGTAGCAAGAAACCAAAAAGCTTAGATACAGTTTACGTGTTATAAACATGAAGGATCAAAGTTTCCAGGAGGTTTCCATCTCTATCAATACACAATGAAAAAACTAACTTTTTTTTGCAAATAGGTTAATTACAGACAGACTTGTTCAGCACAGAAACAAACCCTTTGGTCCAATTCGTCCATGCCAGACAGATATCCTAAATTAACCTAGTCCCATTTACCAGCATTTAGCCCATATCCTCCTAAACTCTACCTATTCATGTACCCATCCAGATGCCTTTTAATTTTTGTTATTGTACCAGCCTCCACCACTTCCTCTGGCAGCTCATTCCATACATGCACCACCCTCTGCGTGAATAAGTTACCCCTTAGGTTCCTTTTAAATCTTGCCCCTCCTACCTTAAACCTATTCCCTTCAGTTTTGGACTCCCCTACGCTGGGAAAAAGACCTGGCTATTAACCCTATCCATGCCAGTCATGATTTTATAAACCTTTAAGGTCAACCCCTCAACCTTCGATGCTCCAGAGAAAATAGCTCCAACCTATTCAGCCTGTCCCTATCGCTCAAACTCACCAACCCCAGCAACATTCTTGTAAATCTTTTCTGAACCCTTTCAAGTTTAACAACATCTTTCCTGTGGGGGAGAATTAAAGCTGTAACAGCTGTGGATGCGAAGCATTTAAGAAACATGTACTAGAGAAGCTCTAAGAACATTTTCCAGGGACAATACTACAACTTCAGGTTATACCCAGCAGAAAAGGAAGAATAACCTGGATCTCAAAAAAAGAGGTGATGGTTGAGGAGTGACCCAACAGAGCTCATTCTGTTTCAATGGACACAATGTATTTACTTGCAAAGAACAAAAAAGTACACGTCATATTCTTTTAAAAAAGCAGAAAGTGATCATGTTGAGCCTACACTCATTTAAATAGGTCATACTTGAAATTCCAAATCAATTCTACCTTCCCACCTCCTTCCAATAGCTTTGGATTCTCTTAGCGCCTAAATATCTTGCTATCTCAGTCCTGATTATATTCATAGACTAAACAACCATAGGAGTCTTTGACAGAGAAATGCAAAAAGTCACCAACTTCTGAGTGAAGAGATTTCCCCTCAGAAATTCTTCTAATTGGCCAATCCTCTGCCCTGCGACTACAAGCCCTACTTCTGGAATCTCCAGCATTTCTGGAGCTCCAGAATCTACCTAACACCGCCAGCTCCCCAAAACACACACACATAGAGGTCTTTAGAGTTTATCAAACAAAACCAAACAACTTGAAACTCTCCAAATGCTGAACATGAACCCTTCCCTACCAAAAAAACTTTGCTTCAATTTATACCTACCCTCACTCAATGCATTAATAGCTTCCATTTTCTTTTCATTGGCTTGATCCATTAGTTCCTCTGAAACCTAAAGCAATACAACATTGAGTAATGATAGTGAACAATACAATGTTAGGTGACAGCAACAACAAAAACTGCCCTTTTTAAAAATGATAGTTACTACTGTTACAGCTGAAAGGTTATTGCCCATCTTCGAGCATGAAGAAAGACCGAATAAGTGAATCTCCAGATGGCTGTGGGGATCTGTGCAATCATAATCCAAGCACAAGTTTATCTGCTGACAGAACGACAGCCCCGATAACTTGACTTGCTCATGGAACTACAGACAGGAACAAAACAGGGTGATAACAAAAACAAAGTTGTTGGAAAAGCTCAGCAGGTCTGGAAGGAAAGAGCAGAGTTAACGTTTCAGGTCCAGTGACCCTTCCTCAGAATGGACCCGAAACATTAACTCTGTTTTTTCTTTCACAGATGCTGCCAGACCTGCTGAGCTTTTCCAGCAACTTTCTGTTTTGTTCCTGACTTACAGCATGCGCAGTTCTTTCAGTTTTTATTAAGACAGGGTGATGCTGACTTCTTCCTGACATGAAGAAAGACTGTTCTATCTAGATGGCGAGGAAAGAGAATTAGAGGTACAAAAACAAGTGTGTTTTGAGGCAGAGTGGGGAGGGGGGGTGGTGTAGAGATGGACAATAACATTGTGAAGCATCAGCACTTGACAACTGAAGGAAATATGGCCTAGTATTGCTTTATTTCATTCAATGCCTGAAACATTTAGGTGATGTACAGCAAATTCCCCAGGCTAATTAATTTCAGTCCTGAAGAAGGGTAATACCGAAAACATTGACTTCTCCTTTCTTCCAGATGCTGCCTGGCTTGCTGCATTCTTCCAGCCTCCTGTTTGTCCACCTTGGATTCCAGCATCTGTAGTTCTTTCATCTCTAAATAATTTCATTGTTTGGTGCTGTCCCACAATTATCTTCAAGAGGCAAACCAGAGATCTCCTTCAAAGCCACATTAGCCAGTTAGGAATGGAATGGAGGGGGGTCTGGGACAACACACCTAATTATTCCATGAGGCAAGTGGTACAGCTGCAAAGAATTATGGTTGTAAATTCACCTCACAACAACTCCTAGCTCCACATTTTGTTTTGAAGAAATAAACTTCACACTTAATCCCCTCCCCACTCGTCTTTAATTATGGTTTAATACCAAGGTTGATCGATATTAGCAAGCATCTGAAAATTCACAAGTTAATCAAGGGCAGTCCGCATAGATTCATTTTAACTTTATTAAGCACAATCTATTTTTTAAAAAAAGAACAATCTACTTCCTTGCCCAATGTAGAAATTGTAAATCATGCAGAATTTCTTATTGCAGCCCAATAATGTTTCCTAAAAATGAGCTTGCGGATTCAAAATGTGTACAGGTCATTGACAAGCTCTTGCACACATATCACTACCTTTAGGTATGGATGATAGACTAAAAAAAAATTTACCTCAAGGCTTTCATCTCCCATTTCCTGGGGTTCATCAATATCTGGCTCAATCACACCTTCCTTATCAATCTCTGGAGAACAAGCCACATGCTCATTAATAGAAACATATCTGAAACCAGATGAGTGCAATGTGTATTAAGAGATCTGATTCACTATTGTACTAGAGTGTATCTTTTCCAATCTGCTCCATGTCAGGGCTCATAATACATACTCCACCACCACCCACCAGAGGGATCCCAACGGCAACTTTCTGATGCGCAGGGGCTCTTTTCTCAGTCTCAAAACTGCTTCATTTGGTGATGCAATCACATAGTAACAATACAGCTGTATGTGTGTCGATTTATAGTGGATTTAGACTCAAAGAAGCAAAAGAATTCATCCTCAATAATCATCACTAATCCACTAAACAATATTTTCCTTGCGTTGTGGCTTTGATTGCCTGGACACAGTATTTAAATCAGCACCAGACAATATGCGCAAGTTAGCAACAAATACTTAAAAGGAAGACACCTCCACATACAAAAAGCCATCACCCTAAACACACTTCCAACAGACTGAAGTCACAGCCAAACAGTTACGTGTTGGTCTCCAACAGTCACTGCACCTCAAGTAATTCATCGTTTGTAAGACACTGATGCCATAACACAAATACAAATCTTTACAAAAAGAAACTGTATGATTAGACTGAAAATCAACAGTTTTCACCACAATTGCATTTACATTTTCTCCCATATAGTAGTACAAACTCGAGGGCTTGAATCTAGAGACTCCACAATAATTTCAAAGAATTAATGATCTCAAATCTTCCTGTTCCCAAATAGGACAGTGCTCTTTTGCAAAATGCTTACAAGTGGTTTCTTTCCTTTCCAGTTCCTCCCTCCTTACCAACCTTTGCAGTACCTCTTCGCCCTTTGTAGCCCTTCTTTCCCCAATTAAAGTTCCTCACCTCAATTTTGCAGCCTCACACTCCCGCGCCCAACTCACTCCGGAGTCTCTATCCCCATTCCACCCCTGCTTTCTCTGGCTTTTTTTGACTGTTGCCACTTACTCATTACTCTAACTACAGGCTGTTTGCTGCTGCTCATGGGTTCATTGCGACACTTATGTGGTAATAGGCTTCCTATGAGCCTATTAACAACAAACACACAAGAGGGATAATTTGTGATTGGAGATGCGACCCACTATTTTCTTCTTTTATTTATGGGGATAGCTTTTCTGATCGGATAGCCCAAAAGTAGATTTTATTGGTTGATTTCCGGGATGGATCTGCCTGCCACCCCCATGTATTTTGAACACTATTCCACATCCTTTATCATATTCACTTCTGCAAGAGACTAGATATTCAGACCACGCAAGTCCCAAATAACATTTTGTGAAATTAGATTGTTACTTTATCCCTACTTGTCCTTTACAATAAGCACATTACCGGAAGTTGTATTATAATAACCACGACAAGTTACAATAAATTCTCTGCGCTCACCTAGCTCGCTCTCTTCACTCTCAGAAGATGGCTCTGGAGATGGAGCCGGTGCCTTCTCTTCTGTGTTTGCTTTCTGTAGAAATGCAAATTAATTGGTTTTCGTTTTAGTCGGCCCATATTGCAGACACAGACACACACACACGCACCAAGCCCCTAGGAAACCTATGACACGCTTGAGGAACGAAATGTCTCACTTTTGGCACCCAATACCAAGTACATGTCAGAATTAGTGAACAGTAAAGTGGACACAACTGTAGATCTTGTGCCACAACATTAGCTTCCCCAGCTAGAAGCTTCAAGTTTGATTCTCATCCTCTGAAATGGCCATCAAGCCAAAGGTCAAAGGCAGTTAGAGATGGGCATGTTGCCGGCCTCATCAGCAATGCACACATCCTGTTAAAGAATTAAGGGAAATAAAAAGGTTATGTAGCAAGATTAGGATGCATATATCTTGGTAATATACAAGAGTCAATCACTTTGGGTGTAGAGTCACAGGTAGGCCACAGCAGATAAGGATGGCAGATTTCCTTCCATTAGTGAACCAGATGGGTTTTTATAACGATAGTAACAGTCACTGTTACTAAGACTAACTCCCAATTCTATGTTTATTAATAGAATTTAAATTCCACCATAGTGGGATTTGAACCCTGCCCCCAAAACATTACTCCAAGCCTCTGGATTACTTGACTAGTGTTATTACCACTATGCCAACAGACCCCTCAGTGAAGCCCAAATAACTTTCAATATGTAAATGTATCTGAAACGGAAGATAAGTATGAGGAAAAGTGGGACAGTGCTTAGATTTTTCAAAGATACAGACCACTTTTGGTGCTGGTATGAGTTTACAATAAGCACGGTGCTTGAGGATTATTCCATTATCCCCAGAAAACCCTGTTAATTGGGAGTTTTGCATAGATATAGAAAAATCATTTGCAGTACTAACTGTTACACAAACAATGCACAAGATACAGATTATAAAAGAATGCAAGAAAACATCAGACAAAAAGGGCAACTGATCCAATAAACATCAGCTGAGAGACAGCTGTTTGGTCTCGATGAAATGAGATCCATTGTTTGACCAGCCACCAATATCAACCAGTTTAGACTATACAGTTTACATTCTTATTCCTTCCCTTCCCCCTAAAACAATGTGTCAAATTTTACAGGCAGCTTCTATATTCTGCGCAGGAGCCGCCCCAGGCACCAGATAGCTCTTATGAAGAACGGTGGGCAGGAATCAATACAGCCCATGGTGTTGGAGGGAGCATATTAGCATGGACAGAGGATTGGTCAACTAAAAGAAAACAGTTTAATTGACAAGTAGGCAGGAGCAAACAGTTAGGATGGCAACCTGTAACTAGTGGAGTACCACAGCAATCAATGCAGGGATCACAACTATTTACAGAATACATTCATGACCAGATGAGGAATGTGAACGTACGAATGCCAAGTTTGCAGATGCCAAAAATAGGTGGGAAGGCAAATGTTGAGGATGACAGAGTTCATGGAGGAATTTAGACAAGTGTGCAAGCAAAGACTTTGCAGATGCATATAATGTGGGAAAATGTGAGGTTTTGCACTTTTGCAAAAAGAATAGAGAGGCTGAATTTTATTGAAGTAGAGAAAAAGACTGCAGAAAGAGGGATTTGAGATTCCTCATGAATGAATCACAACAAATTAGTATTCAATATCAGAGGGTATTAGGGAAGCCAAATGGAATGACAGCCATTATTTCAAAGGGGCTGGAGTTAAAAAAACAAAGGAAATCTTGCAAAAGCTGTACAAGGCACTAGTCAGACCACACCTGCAACACCGGAAAGCTTCTATTCAATTAGCTGAGGGAATATGTACGGGCATAGGAAGTAGCCCAGAGAAGGTTCATTCAGTTGATCCCAAGTATGGAGTGATTTTCTTATGAGAGCATTCAAGAAAGTTGATCTTGTACTCATTGGAGTTAAGAATAATGAGAAGTAATCTTATGGAAACATTTAAATTTCTTAGGGGTCTTGACAGGGTAGATTTGGACAAACTGCTTCCCTTGTGGGAGAGTCCAGGACCACAGGGCATAATCTCAGTCAGGAGTTACCAAGTTAGGAGAAAAATAAGGAGGAATTTCTTCTCTCAGAATAGTGAATCAGTGGCATTCTGTACTGCATAGGCTGATAGACTCTGCAAGGCTGAGGTCAGTAGGCTTTTAATCATTAAGGGAATCAAAGGGCATGAGGAAAAGGGAAAAACAGTGGAGTTGAGGATTATCAAATCAAACATGAACCCATTGAATGGTGGAGCAGAATCCACCAGCTAAAATGGCCTGCTTATGCTCCTGTCTCTCCTGGAATCATTACAAAGATTCATCTGGCTTGTCCGTGCACATCAATGAATCAATACTCTACATTAAGGTTGGTTGGCTCGCCGAGCTGGTTTGTTGTTCCGCAGACGTTTCGTTACCATGCTGGATAACATCATCAGTGCAGCCTCCGATGAAGCATCGGTGTGTTTTCCCACCTGGTTTTTAAACTCTCGAGTCCGTTGAGCTGGATTGCCTCACTTCCGGTTTTCCTTCATAGTGGAGTGTATATGGGGTCGAGTTCTAAGTGTTTATTAATGGCTTGCTTCATGGAGTGCCAAGCTTCTAGGAATTCCCGTGCCTGTCTCTGCTTAGCTTGTCCCAGGATTTTGGTGTTGTCCCAGTCGAATTGGTGGTTCTCCTTATCCATGTGGATTGAGATGAGTGAGCATTGGTCGTGTCTTTTTGTAGCCAGTTGGTGCTCGTCTACCCTTGTTGTTAGTTTCCTTCCTGTTTGTCCAATGTAGTGTTTCTCATGGTCTCTGCAGGTGATCTTATAGATGATATTGGTCCTGTCCATGGCGAGGAGTGGATCCTTAGTTTGGGTGAGCAGCTGTCATAGGGTTGATGTGGGCTTGTGTGCCACTCTGATACCCAGCGGTCGTAGGAGTCTTGTGGTTAGTTCCGATGTGTCCCTGATGTAGGGTAGCGTGAGGAGTGTGTCAGGGCGTGTAGTTGTTCATGTAGGAATCTTCTGACCCAGTTTTTTGGATATCCATTATCCTTGAAAACCTGGAAGAGGTATTCTTCTTCCTCTTGGTGTAGTTCTGTGTTGCTGCAGTATGTTGTTGCCCGTTTAAAGTGTTCGCATGAAGCTTCGTTTGTGTGTGCGGGGATGGTTACTGTTGAAGTTAGTACCTGGTCCGTGTGTGTGGCTTTTCTGTGTACTTTCGTTTGGAGATCTCCGTTTGTCTTGCATTCTATCATGAAGTCCAGGAATGGGAGCTGTTTGTTCTTCTCCTCCTCTCTGGTGAATTTTATTCCGGTGAGGGTGTTGTATATAAGGTTGTGTCTCTCCTCTAGTTTGGTCCGTTTAATGATGACAAAAGCGGTGTCCACGTAGCGTATCCATAGTTTTGGTTGGATTAGCGGAAGGGCCGCCCTTTTAAGTCTTTGCATTACTGCCTCTGCTATGAGTCCGGAGATAGGTGATCCCATGGGTGTCCCACTGATTTGTTCGTATGTTTGGCCATTGAAAGTGAAGTGGGTGGTGAGGCATAGGTCCAGTAGTTTGAGCATGTTGTTTGTGGAGATGGTTTCTCTGGGGTCTTGCTCTTGTTCCAGTAGTGCTGCCATTGTTTCCCTTGCTCGTGGTATGATCTCCGGACTCATAGCAGAGGCAGTGATGCAAAGACTAGAAAGGACAGTCCTGCTAATCCAACCAAAACTATGGATACGCTACGTGGACGACACCTTTGTCATCATGAAACGGACCAAACTAGAGGAGACACACAACCTTATAAACAACACCCTCACCGGAATAAAATTCACCAGAGAGGAGGAGAAGAACAAACAGCTCCCATTCCTGGACGTCATGGTAGAGCGCAAGACAAATGGAGATCTCCAAACGAAAGTACACAGAAAAGCCACACACACCGACCAGGTGCTGAACTTCAACAGTAACCATCCCCGCACACACAAACGAAGCTGCATGCGAACACTATTTAAACGGGCAAGAACACACTGCAGCAACACAGAACTACGCCAAGAGGAAGAAGAATACCTCTTCCAGGTTTTCAAGGATAATGGATAACCAAAAAACTGGGTCAGAAGATGCCTACATGAACAATATCAGGAAGATACTACACGGCCCGACACACTCATCACACTACCCTACATCAGGAACACATCGGAACTAACCACAAGACTCCTATGACCGCTGGGCATCAGAGTGGCACACAAGCCCACATCAACCCTACGACAGCTGCTCACCCAAGCTAAAGATCCACCCCTCGCTATGGACAGGACCAATATCATCTATAAGATCACCTGCAGGGACCATGAGAAACACTACATCGAACAAACAGGAAGGAAACTAACAACAAGGGTAGACGAGCATCAACTGGCTACAAAAAGACACGACCAATGCTCACTCATCTCAATCCACATGGATAAGGAGAACCACCAATTCGACTGGGACAACACCAAAATCCTGGGACAAGCTAAGCAGAGACAGGCACGGGAATTCCTAGAAGCCTGGCACTCCAGGAAGCAAGCCATTAATAAACACATAGAACCCGACCCCATATACACTCCACTATGAAGGAAAACCGGAAGTGAGGCAATCCAGTTCAAAAACCAGGGGGAGAACACAGCGACGCTTCATCGGAGGCTGCACTGATGATGTTACCCAACATGGTAACAAAACGTCTGCGGAACAACAAACCAGCTCGGCGAGCCAACCACCGTCAACACCCACAACCCGAGCTACAAATCTATGCCAAAACCTTAGACAATACTCTCCATCCACCCAAAACGATGTGACTTTCCGAGATGGACAAAAGCAAAGCAGGCAGTTCAGATCAATGTGAGGATGGGAAAAAATTCAGAGAGATATTCTTATTGGAGAATTACATCCAGATCACCCGAATTGGTTCAACTGATGCTGACGACAACATGGTATAGCCCAATGGTTTACCTTTGACGACTCCGGAAATTTCGGGTGTTCTGCTGCTGGTGGGATGGCTGCTCCCATACTGTAAGAAAAAGCAGAGCTGTAATTTTAGAAAATCTAATAGTCACCAAACTACTAGTCATAGACAGCTGAGTCACTGCTGAGCAAACATGTGAATGAGTCTAACAATCCTTATCGTGTTAAAGTGGTTGTCTGAGAGTGCATCAAGGACTCAAGAGTGCTGTCAGTGACACCAAGTTCCATGGGCACAGGGGATGGACGACAGGCATCAGAATGCAAATGAAAGATGTTTCAAACACCACAAAGGGCCAGGCTGCTTTTTATTTCCACATTTTCAAAGGGCATGCTGCTTGTAATGTCTGGCAATTTGTCTTAGCTCTGAAAGCCATTGTTTCTAATCTTCTACTGTAGGTGGGAATGAGTGGCAAGGAAGACATGAAGAAGCTTCTGGGCAACTTACGCAAGTTGCATGTGTGGGCAAATACATGGCAGATGCAGCATAAAGTGAATAATTGTTAGGTTTTCCACTTTGGTATGAAAACAGTTGTAAAGTATTATCTAAACGGTGATAGACTGTGAAAGATTGACATACAAAGGGATCTCAGTGTCTTTCTACACTGGTCATTGAAAGCAAGTAGGCAGGAGCAAACAGTTAGGAGGACTGATGGCCTTCATTACAAGAGAGCTTGGGTACAGGAGCAAGGAAATCTTTTTGCAGCTTTGGTGTGACCATACCTGGAGCATGGTGTGTAGCTTTGCTCTTTTTAACAAAGAAAAGATATTCTTGCCATAGACAGAATACAGTGAAGATTCACCAGAGTGATTTCATAGAATCATAGAATCCCTACAGTGTGGAAACAGCTCCTTTGGCCCAACAAGTCCACACTGATCCACAGAGCATCCCACCCAGATCCATCCCCCTCCCCCTACAAGCCACCTAATCTACACCTCAACACTACAGGCAATTTTCCATGGCCAATCCAGCTAGCCTGCACATCTTTGGACTGTGGGAGGAAACCAGAGCACCAGGAGGAAACCCATGCAGACACGGGGAAAACATGCAAACTCCACACAGACAGTCGTCCAAGGGTGGAATCGAATCCGGGTCCCTGACGCCGTGAGGCAGCAGTGCTAACCACTGGGCCACCGTGCTGCTCCAAATAAATTCGACACACCCCAGATAAGACTCGAACCCACAATCCCTGGCTTAGGAGGCCAGTGCCTTATCCATTAGGCCACTGGGGCTACACAAAAGTAACCTCCTTCGAGCCGGAAACGAACCAGCGACCTAAGGATTTCTGATGTTTCAGATTTGTTGTATGACAAGGGATTGGGTTGACAGGGCACAAATTCACTGAGTTTAGAAGAATGAGAAGCGTCCATATGAAAAAGTATAAAATCCTGATTGAGCTAAATAGACTGGTTGCAGGCATGATGTTTCCCATTTAGAACACGGAATCATCTTCTCAGCATATGTAGTAGACCATTTCAGTCTGAGAGGAAGAGAAATTTCTTCACTCAGTCGTGAACTTGTGGAATTCTTTACTACAGAAGGCTATGGAGGCAAATTCACTGAATAAATTTAAGACAGACAAAGACAGAATTCCCGAAAGGGATGTGGGGACAGAGCAGGAATATGGCATTAAGACAATGATCACATTGAGTGACGGACTGAGTATAAAGGCTAGATGGGCCACTCCTGGATGAGCAGAAAGATCTCGGTGTCCATGTGCATAGATCACTGAAAGTTGCCACCCAGGTTGATAGTGTTGTTAAGAAGGCGTACAGTATGTTAGGTTTTATTGGTCGAGGGATTGAGTTTCGGAGCCATGAGGTCACATTGCAGCTGTACAAAACTCTGGTGCGGCCGCATTTGGAGTATTGCGTACAGTTCTGGTCACCGCATTATAGGAAGGATGTGGAAGCATTGGAAAAGGTGCAGAGGAGATTTACCAGGATGTTGCCTGGTATGGAGGGAAGGTCTTATGAGGAAAGGCTGAGGGTCTTGAGGCTGTTTTCGTTAGAGAGAAGAAGGTTAAGAGGTGACTTGATAGAGACATACAAGATGATCAGAGGATTAGATAGGGTGGACAGTGGGAGCCTTTTTCCTCGGATGGTGATGGCTAGCACGAGGGGACATAGCTTTAAATTGAGGGGTGATAGATATAGGACAGATGTCAGAGGTAGGTTCTTTACTCAGAGAGTAGTAAGGGCGTGGAATGCCCTGCCTGCAAAAATAGTAGACTCGCCCACTTTAAGGGCATTTAAACGGTCATTGGATAAACATATGGATGATAATGGAATAGTTTAGGTTAGATGGGCTTCAGATTGGTTTCACGGGTCGGCGCAACATCGAGGGCCGAAGGGCCTGTACTGCGCTGTAATGTTCTATGTTCTATGCTTCTATTTTATGTTTCTATGAATAAGTCAAGCCCTCTAGAGAATACAGACCCTAGCTCCTGAATACACACTCCCTACACGATCAACTACAAGTTCATTTTGGAAGAAAGCAAACCCTGGTTAAATCACTTGGAATAGTTTATCTCTGCTTAAAATAGATAATTACAACAATCTGCATTTACACAGTCATTTTATGTAACAGAACATCCCACAATGCTCATAGAAATGTTAATTAGTCAAAATTAACCTGATAGTTACAACATTTAAAAGGATGGGTATATGGATTGGAAGGATTTAGAGGGACATGTGCCAAATACTGGCAAATGGGACTATGTCAGAGTGGGATATCTGGATGACGCAAATGAGGTGAACCGAAGATATTAGGAACTGCCGATGCTGGAGAATCTGAGATAACAAGGTGTAGAGCTGGATGAACACAGCAGGCCAAGCAGCATCTGAGGAGCAGGAAGGCTGACGTTTCAGGTCTGGACCCTTGTTTTCCTGCTCCTCTGATGCTGCTTGGCCTGCTGTGTTCAACCAGCTCTATACCTTCTAATCTCAGATGGGCCAAAGGGTCTGTTTCCATGCTGTATGACCCTATGTAAGCATAGGGAGATGACCAAAGTTTGACTGAAGAAGTAGGCTTTCAAGATCACCTTAAAAAGCAAGAAGTGGAGAGACTAAAGGACAGAATTTCAGTGCCACCAGAATCCATTAACAAAGATGCATTGCTGGAACTCACTTCAATAGCATCTTGCGAAACCATGACCTCTAATGCCTAGAACTGCAATAACAGATGGTGACTGGGACCAGCAACTGCAAGTTCCTTTCCCAGTCATACATCAATGCAATTTGGAACAAAGTCATCATTCCTTCAGTCACTGAGTTGAAATCCTGGGACTCCTTTTGTAGCAGCACTATGAGTGTATCTACAGCAGATCTAAACAGCAGTTAACCAGCACCCTGAAGGCAATTACGAATAGGTGACAAATGCTAACCCTGCCATCAAAGCTGGCACCCTACGAAAAGATGGTCTACACTGATTGTCTGGAAAAAAAAATGAAGTTAAATCACAAGAGCTGCTATTTTATATAGTAACCTTAGCATAGTAAAACAGCCCAACTTCACAGGAGCTATATCAAACAAAACTTGACACGATTCCAGGTAAGGAGATATTAGGACAGGAAGAGCAAAGTTGGGTTAATGAAGTGGGCTTTAAGGAGCCATTTAAGGAGGAGCAAGAGTAGAGGCTTACAGAAGTCCAAGTAAAGGCAGTAGACATCAAACAACAGAACTAAAGAAATCCAGGGTTCAACAGAGATCAGGGCGGAGATTTGAGAACTCCAGAACATGAAAAAATCTTGACTTTCTAAAATTTTACAATAATGTATCTATGTGGAGTGAAAAATTGGCTGAATGCCATGAGCAGCAAGTAGTTAACAGATCTGGATCTGTTCGGAGCCCCATCACGAGTTGCTTGCTCTTCATCCATTAATGATCTAGATGCAAGTATTACGCATATGATTACCAGCTGGCAGACATTCCCAAGTGCTGGGACTGTAGAAGCAGTTCAACTACAAACAGATCTCAGCATCTGGTAGTACAGAACTTGTGTAATGCCAAAAACATAAATTTTTGGCAAAATTTTCATCCTTCACCCATCAGGCCAATTTGCAAGGATTTAAGAAATGCAAAAGGACTTTCAACTCAAAAAATTAGGTGGCAATTGTTTGTTGGCTCATTTCTCAGGGCAATGCCTTGACCGAAGGCAACGCAGGCTAAAGTTTAAACAAAATCATATCATTAACTGGGGGATTTTCTGTGGCAACACCCTTACCTTTTTTTTCTTTTCTCCAATCAATCTGCCTTCTCCTCTCAGACACTGTAAATGTTAGTTTTCCCTTTCATCCGATATTCTTGTAAATTGCCCTGATGCGTGCTAGTTAGAGACTTTGACAAAATGTATTTTTAGCAATGCAAGATTCAACGTGTTGGGGAATGGATTCATATTTGGAATAAAATGGTCAAATCAGTAACACATGGGTTAGCATAATGATAAATATACATATACCCCAGAGGTGACAGGACTGAACTTGTAGTGAAAGTAGTAGTTCTGGTAATACAATGCATCTGCCTCTAAAGGGCCACAGTTAATACCATGAATCTGAAGCAAACAGGCTAAGCACACAGGGCAATTCATTACAAAACAAAGGATACCATTTTATGCTATGTAAAAACCTAGATTAGGCTTCATTAAGCCGCCTCCTCAGCCTTGATGCCCTCACATGGATGCAGGCTTTGGAAAAGGTGCAGAAGACGAGTGCAACATTGATTTCTAGCTCAAAACCTGTTAGTTATGCAGATAGCTCTTTAAGGCCAAGCCAGTATGCTTCAAAGCAGCATTAACTCAATGATTCGATTCAAGTTTATTGAGCTGAGGTCACTAATATTTCCAGGAAAGTGAGTCAGACATGTTACTGATATGAAAGCTATCTTAGGTCAGGCTAACGTGATCTTTTCTCAACCAGTTTCAATCACCTGAAGTAGCGAATGGCATATTTTACAGGTTTGCCAAAATAATTGGCCTAATTTCTGTTTTCTACCTTCTCCCAAGAGCTTCACAATATTATCCACTATGGAAACTACCGTTCAGTCCAACAGATTATTGCTTGTACTTACATTGCACACAATCCACCTCAAATCCAATCAACATACCTTTCTATTCCTTTATCCTTCGTGTGTTATCTAGCTTTCCTTCTGCATGCTCTTCACCTAAACAACTCCACTTAGTCACAAATTCCACATTCTTGCCACTCACATTGAAAGGTTTCTTCAGAATCCCATATTGAATTTCTTAGTAACTTTTAGATTTTATGGGCAATTCTGGTCCTAAGCACAAGTGGAAACATCCAATACTTCCATCATCTTGAATATTGCCTTTCAATCATCGCTTTTTCAAACAAAAAAGACTACGAAATTGTTGAACCACACTTCCCTGATATATGGTATCAATGTGGACTTCACAAGCTTCAAAATCTTCCCTCCCCTGACCGCACCCCAAAACCAGCCCAGCTTGTCCCTGCTTCCCTAACCTGTCCGTCCTTTCTCCCACCTATCCACTCCTCCCACCTCAACCCCTACCCTCACCTCCTACCTACCAGCCTCATCCCCACCTCCTTGAGCTGTCCGTCTTCCCTTGACTGACCAACCATCACCCTAACTCCCCACCTACACTCACCTTTACTGGCTCCATCCCCACCTCCTTGACCTGTCCATCTCCTCTCCACCTATCTGCTCCTTTATCCATCTTCCATCTGCCTCCCCCTCTCTCTCTATTTATTTCAGAATCCCCTTCCCCTCCTCCATTTCTGAAGAAGGGTCCAGACCCAAAACGTAAGCGTTCCTGCTCCTCTGATGCTGCATTGCCTGCTGCGTTCATCCAGCTCTACACCTTGTTGTCTCTTTTCCCTGATATATAATGTGGTTTCAGATGGACAGAGTGTGTATCACAATGCACAGGGCCCACATGTCTGAAATGAATGGAACCTGTTGCTGTTTTACTGTATGGCTTTTGTTTGTTGAAACCCAGACTCCACTGTACAAAAGCAGACAAATAATTATCCAATCCACCATGCAGCCAAGGTTGGTTGGTATTAGCTGCGACACACCCACTGTGTGCACAAATTCCGAAAATGCCTGGAGGCTCCAGTTACATGGGGGTTGGTGCTGCATATGGAGCAAATACTGTGAAATTTTAAGATTTATTGGTGGAGCTCAAAAGCACAAAGAAATTGTTGAATTCTACTTTGATAATATAATCCTGGTATAAAATCAATTCCTGGTAGTAGAAGAAGCTGAAAGAGGATCAAATCACGATTCTTGCAGATTTTTTTTTCCCTCAGCTCTTGAACTGTGTTCTGAACGTATTCTACACCTAACCATCCCCATCTTCTCCCCTCGTTGCCTTCAACTCATCCCATCTCCTACCTAGGTGTTCCTCCACCTCCCTCTGACCATCAGCCCCCTACCGTCACATGCACACACTCACTCAGCACGCAAGCACTTCACTCGCGTGCCCCCCCCCCGCCCCCAACAACACAAGCATGCGTACACTCACTTCACACTGTGGGGGAGACACAGCGCACCACACACACACACACACACACACACACAGCGCACCACACACACACACACACACACACACAGCGCACCACACACACACACACACA